CTTTTCCTGTCTAGGGTCCCAAATGTTGTTACTTCTCAGCCCCAGAACCTCTTCTCTCTGCTTTCCTTTTCCTTCTATGCTACTCTGAGCTGACAAACATGAACCTGTTAATGCACGTCTGTGATTAGCCTGAAACCTCTGTGATGTTTCAGGCCTGTCCTCTGAACACAGTTTTGCCAGAACACCCTGTGTGTTGCAGGAGATGGGCAGCAGACAGCTGTTCACTTTCAGTTCCACTCTCTCCTGAACTTTGGTACTTAAATAGTTGTACCTTGAGCTGAAGCCAATGGATTTAGGATCTTGCTAAAAAAAAGCATTTGGCTTTCCTTTTCCTAGTTTGTTTTGTTGGTGTGGGGGCTGAAAGGTAGTTTATTCCATTGCAGGGAATCTGTCCCTCACAAGACATGCTTTTGCTCATCCTTTGTATGGAGCCTTTGAATGGAGGCTAGCACACTTACAGCCTTTTATTCTGTCGCTGTTTCTGCTGCAGCTGCTCCGAGGTGTCTCCAGCAGTACACCCGCCCGTTCTTTTCTTGTACCAGAGACCACCCAGTCACCAGTACTCCCAGCAGATGATAGGCCACTTGGTCAGGACCTGGAGGATCCTACTGGGGTATGTGTATTTTGGAGTCATCTTCTTGTTATTTCACTTTTTTCTTAGTATCTTCTTCCTCACCAGTAGCCATTCAGTTGACGTCTAGCTGAAACATTTGCTGCCATTTTTTCAGTGGAGATATGGCTAAGCAAATTCTGGACCCAAAGTTTCTGTCGTGCTGAAGCAAGATATATTCTCCATTGAAATGCCTTTTTAAATGTTGGATATACTAGTTCTTGGTGGGATGGTCAACTAATCCCCTTCATTCCTAGTACAGATAGCCTTTTTGCCCTTCCACGTTCTAGCTGTGCCCAGCAGCTAGCAGTCTGAATGCTGCCTACATCACACAGCAGCAGATAGATGTATTGCTCTGCATCTGTTTGGCAGCTGATACTGATGGCATGTTGGCTCTTAAAACTTAATGGGATGATGAGCTTAACAACAGTTACCACATCTCTGACCCAGTAAGATGCAATTCACAGTAGCCTCAGGTGTCTTTCTTCAGGGCTGATTTGACTGGGGCTTATGTCACAGGTTAAGAGTCAGAGCTCAGAGGTGGCTGCCAGAGCATCCAGACCTGTGAAGAACATCCAACCACCACTGAGGACTGTGGTGGTACCCTGTACCCTGAAGTCACCAGCTGCAAAGGTGGAATCCAGTGAGGCCTGGAGGAAGAGTCCCAACCAAGGACCACCAAGAGTCCACTCCAAAAAGCCCAGAAAAGTTTTATTTGAACCCACAGCATCTGAGAAAGATCTTGATGAAGAAGGTAACTCTGGTAGCTTCCAACTTTATTTTACAGGTCTTGTCTGAATGATCTGTCAATGCTGCTGGGCTGCACCTTCTCAGTCTTTTTCTCTATGTACCTCCAAGGCATGATGGGCTTGTATGTTTGGCTTTGAAATACTAAGAATGGTCTTTATTCCTGGGTCAGCTGCTTGATGAGTTTTTGCCTGCTGGGAAAAGGCCAGAAATGGAACATGGTATATTCTTAGTGTCACCACTTTTTACTGTGACATAATGCCTATCTTTTCATCCAAGTAAAAGTGTTTTCTAAATTAAGACAAATATTGTTAGTCTTGTTTTAGAAAAGAATAAATTGAGGCACAAGAAAATTACCTACTGTGATGTTCTGTAAGCTGCATTACTCTGTACCCCTACTAACAGCACACCACTTGGTCCATAGAAGACATTGGTTATTATTACAGTATAGAAAATATGGAAAGGAATATATGTGTGTATATATATATATAGTATAATTGTACTGACTTTTGAGTACTAAGAAGGTACCAAGGGATTTGGAAACAAAGCCTTAGGCTTCTGGAGTGGGAATTCTAAGTCAGCTCCAGAGTGTGACCAAGTTTATGTGTAAAAGTTTGTCAGTAACTTAGTGGTCCCCATAAGAAATTACATACTGGGACTTGGCTTGCTTGTCATAAAGGCAAATATAGCTCCATCATAAAGATTTTTCTGCTGCAGGCAGTGTGAGCAGGGAAACAAACTTCCATCAGAGGGGTAAAATGCAATGGCAACAGCATTTGGCAGTCAGAGGAAGTGTGCCCTGCTCCTACTATCTTCTGCATTTCCTCTGATGAGACTTAGTTCATGATTCTTGGTCTTGCACCTTGTTTGTTGCAGTGAGGTAGCTTTGTGCTGGAGGTTGGAGGAAGGTCAAAGGGCTCTTGTACAGTGGAGCTGATCACTTTCCACAGTATGTCTTCTGGCTGCTTTATGAGGCCATCTCTGTGTTCCCTCTGCAGATCTGGCAGTGAAGGAGTTGCAAGGTGAGGATTTGGTTCCTAGATCCTGGTTTGTCTTTTCAGTCATTCAGTGGTGGTGTTCCTTCCCTTCAACATCAGAAGCCTCTCATGCTTCATCCTGTATCTCCCCAGTGATCAAAAACAAGTAGGTTGTGTGTATATACTGTTCCTTTTCATGCAGTTGCCATCAGTGCTTCCAGTACTGTCAGGCTCTCAAATATGTTTCTTTAGCCCCTCTGAATCTCAGGCATACCTCTGGGTACATAGCTCTTTGAGGAAAAAAGGTAAGATATGAAATAGACTTTGACTAAAAAGTATTTTTTTTAGCTTGCTCAGCCAACTGCAGGGGCTTGGGGGTGGAAGGGAGGAGGAACAGAGCAGTACAAGGAATACCTCTGGAAGCAGCTCCAGGCTTCTGATTGTTCTGTCTTAGACACTGACAAGCTGTCCCTGGGTAGCCCTCCCTCACGAGGAGTAGTATGGGGCAGGTAGCACAACTGGGATATCACTTTTGGAGATGGGCTAGTAAATAGGGGACATCCAAGCATGTCTGAAGTGGCAGCTTGGATGCATCCAGCTACTGCTTCCTCCTGAGTTCTCTCTAAGTACAGCAATTATTCCCCCAAGCCAACTGGAAGTATTGCTCAGGGAGGTATGTCTTTCTCCCCTGCAGAGGGAAGGGACATGGGGCCCTTGCCTTACCATTTCCCCCCTCTGAGCATTCAGGTGGCTTGTTCTCCCCAGCAGGGAAGGGAGCTGAGGGTGTCTTGTTTGACTGCTCACAGGCCTGTGCTCTTCCCTCCCCAGGCAGTCCCAGCCCTCGATGGTGCCATGCCATGTGCCTCAGTGACCTGGGGACAGCTGTTCTCATTGGTGGAGAAGGTGTCAATCAACAGTCCTGCAGGGATGCTTTCTGGAAGCTGGAAACTGGTGGGTACTATAGGGTTGTCAAAAACAATGGAGACAGTGGGACTTGAGGATGGCTCATGGAGATGGGAGGGGATACTTGGGCATCTCTGTGCAGATGGAGGGGACAGCAAAGGCATCACGCCTGGCATGTCTCGAGGCCGAGCTGACAGCATAAAGCACCTTGTGAGGCTCTGGGAATGTACTTGAGAGCCCTCTAGGAGCTAAGGTACAAGTTCTGGAAAGAGATGGAATTTTAAGGGGTAAAAGCAACAGTGGCGTTTGCAGTCTGTGTGTTGACTGGTGGGGAAGTGTGAGATACAATTCCAGTGTCTTGTGTCTTTCTGCGCCTCACTGGTCTTCTCTTTCACCTTACTATTCCCCATCACTCCTTACAGAAACAATTCTGTATGAGTTCCCTCTAGCCCTGAATCAAAGGAGAGGAGGAGACAAAGGGAGCAAGGTTTTGTGTAAAAAATTTATGGCATATTCTTTAAATTCTAGAGAAATCAAGAGTGTTTTTGAATTCCCACACCATGTGTCTGCTGTTGCTCCCACAGACAGTGATTTATGGCTTCCAGTGGGTTTCCAGCTACAGAATGCCATGCCATCATGCTTGCATGGTCACACAGCTACCTATGACCCTGACACCAAGCGTATCTACATCTTTGGGGGCATAAGGGAGGACAAAGACTACAGCAGCATGTACATTCTGGACACAGTCACCTGGAAATGGCTCCTTGTGGCCGTGAGTACTGCATCTCTTCCAAGACAAAAGTGCAGGAGGGGTGGCAGGTTCTGTCTGAATGTGGCAGTCAATGCACCCATTTCCTTAGTCCAATAGTGTTTGTTCCACTGTTGCTATAGCTTGTCTGAGATGTATAGTTGGGTTTGACAGGTATTAGGAGGCTGTGTTGAAAAGCCACATGCTGAACAGGAACCAGGTACTGTGCCTACAAGGCATGAAGCAATGTGAAAAAATGGTTGCTGCAGAGGGCTGTGCCTGACCAAGCTCAAGGGTGGGACATATTCTACAAGCAGTGGAAGTGGCCTCTCATTTTATACGGTGCCATTGAGAGCTGCACCAGATGCTGAGGTTAAGAGACAGTCTTCTCAAATCAGGAACTGCCCTGAGCACAGCAGAATTCTGAGCCTTGTCAGCATGGGACTGTCTCTTTCCTGGTAAAGCACAAAGTAGCTTTTACAGGGTAAGCATGGATGAGTTACCATGAGTTCTGTTCCCTGACATCTTCTGAGGAAGGTGTGGGAGGCTGATTTCCTTTTCTTATCAGAGCATTCTGGTGGTGTAGAGCATGCCAAGAACATACTGTCTGCCTGCGTAGCAAAGATCTGGCTGGGAAGCCAATAAAGTGAAAATTGAGACTTGTCAAACTCACTGCATGATGTGGGCCCCTTTCCTATGGGTCATGCAGCAAATAATGCACTTCTTGTAACAAATATATATTGAACTTTTTCTAGGCGAAAGGGAGGATACCAGTGCTCACCTACCACAGCGCAACTATCTACCACAAGGAGCTCTTTGTTTTTGGAGGAACTTTCCCTAGAAAGGCATCACTGGCAGTTGCACCCTGCAGCAATGTGCTCTATGTCTTCAATCCAGAGCATGAGATTTGGTATCAGCCCATTTCAGAAGGGGAGAAACCTCTACCTAGGCTTGGGTGAGAGTGCTCTAATTCCAGCTATCAAAAAATAGTGCAGAAAACCTCTGCTTACATTCCCTCCCACACCAGTGTGATTTTCTAAGTATTAGGCGATTATTTTCCACCATGTACTCCTTAAGACAGGGCTGTGTTTAGAGCAATGGGATTCTCAGTACCTCCTGTTGTGAATCCTGATGGGATTCTGTCCGAGGTGTAGACTGAAGCTATGGCAGCACAGTAGAAGAGGCCAAGGCTAAAACAGAAGTTTTGGGAACTTGCTGAAGATGTTTTATTCATTTGCTTGCTCTCTGCCCAGGCATTCAGCTACTCTATTGAAAAACAAGCTGCTGATTTTTGGGGGTCGGAGGACTTCTCTCTACCTTAGTGACATGCACATTCTGGATCTGGGTAAGAAAGTCTGTGCCATGTGTCTGCCTTGGGAAGGTCTGTTCCAAGACAGGGAGTGAGGTGTGCTCAATGGGAAAACAGCAATAACATTATACAAATTCCTGACTAGACAATGGAGATGAAAAACTATGGCTTAAAAAAAAGCCCTTTCTGGGGCAATAAGGGAGGGGATGAAGAAAAAACAATGGCTTTTTTTGGAAGAAGTTGGGTAATAAAGAAGACAGGTTGTTGATGTGGCAGGGTTTTTGTCTAGTTATGAGGCTGAGGTTTTTTGACATGTCACCTGCCTTTTCTTGGTCTGTCAGGTTTCATGGAGTACACACCAGTCCCCCTGCTGGCAGGACAGCCTTCTGCACGTTGGTAAGATTCTATTGCAGACCCAGGAGCTGTCTTCTTCTGTCACTTCTTTGAAGCCAGATTTAAACAGTGCTTGTGATCAGACCCAGCTGCATATCTCTGTCCCACTAGTCAAAATACGTGGATCTTCTCTCTGCTGTGGGCCCAGGAATTCCTGTGCTGTCCTTGATGGTGCTAGTATGGTGTTGGGGGATATTACTTAGCCTCCCTGGAAATCTGTCTTTCAGGTTAGGCTAAGTCTTCTGCCCTGTGCTAGTAAATTGTATGGCCTGCTGTTTGGTCTTCACAGTGTGTGGAGAGGTAGTGTGCCACACAGAGGAACAAACTCCTGTACCAGGACTATACTGTTCCTAAAGGGACAGAATTGCTCACTGTAACAATGATCTAAATTAATGAAGAGCCCAGCTAACCTGCTATCTCATCCCACAGAGCAAAGCATAGGAGTTTTGATAGCTCCTTCTGAGATAATGAGTTCCTCTTCAGGCCTGATTGTGGCCTGCCCTGCAGAGGCAAACTTCTCTTTTAGGGTTATTCTGAAAATCAGGGCAGAGAGAAGCAGAAATCAATTTTCTTCTTGCAGCTTAAAGCCCCCATCCCTGCCCATTGCTGAGGCCATCCAAGCAGGTTTTGTTGTAGCCACCTTTTGACTTTGCTTTACTCACAGTTTTCATGCAGCTCTGGCTGTGTCGGACCAGAAGGTTCTGATCAGTGGAGGCTGCAATGCCAGAGGAGCCTTCCATGATGCCTTTGTCTTCCACCTAGGTGAGTGACTCTCCTGCAAATACAGCTTTTGATAGCTGAACGTGACTCTGGGGCTGCAGTGGTGTTTTTGAACACCTAGTCTAGTCCATTTGTGTCATCCCTTTGCACCAGGAATGGGCTTGTCATTATTGATATCCCCTTTCCATTTCAGATACTCTTTCATGGAGCACAGTGATCCACCACGACCTCTGCTCTGTTCCCCGAGCTGGCCACACATTGCTTGACCTGACTCCTGCCCACTTAATAGATATGGACAAGGAGAAGAAAGAGGAGCAGAACCTGCACAAGGTGTTGGTCTTTGGGGGCTCCAACTGTGCTGGGACCTTTTATAACAGCACAGTCAAGATCCAGCTGGACCTAGGATAATGCATGATTCTCAGAATGAGCCTGAACAGCAAGTCTCTTCACCAGATTAAATACAGATATGGATGGCAATAAATGAGTCCAAGCAACATGGCAGTCCAGGTATCTGTATGTAGGTGAATGCCACCTTAGTACAAGTGATTGTGGGTTTATAAAGTCTGAAGGCCATGGGTATTGTTCTCCTAGGGTACCTGATATACAGTATCTGGGTTCAGGTGCCAAAAACATTCAGTGGGATCTGAGCTGAGCCTGCACAAGCACACAGACACAAGGTTATAGGTTCCCTTTTTTCCCTACAGATTTTTAGCTGGAATTCCCAGGGCACTTTCAGCTTTGAAGGTGACTTAGGTGTTTGGTTTCATTTGGGATGAATGGAATAGTATTTACTGCTGCTATTTGTCCTCAGCGTAATAGGTACAGGTATGATTCTGGTTTGGAGGGAATCTGGGGTGGGATTCCCTTGGGCAACAGTCTGCAGCTGAAGGCTAGGAAAACACCTAGAGTGGTAACTGAGGAAGGGAAAAAGAAGAGAATAATTTTCAGTGTAGGGGAGAGAGTTGGTTGTGTCTTGCTGTCACAATCACCTAGCTTTTCTCTAGGCAGACCTTTTATAAATTCTGTGCTCTGGTTATTGCAAGGGGTCACAGAGTTGCTGACTTGGCTTTTTCAATACCCCAAGAAGGGTTAAGCTATCTTCCATCAGAGACTAGATCTTATTGTTTATATCCATGGAACTGATGACTCTGCTGTGGCTCTGAGTTGGCTCCAAGGATAAGCACACTGTGTACGCTGATTCCCTGATGCTCTTTCTGTAGATGGTAAAAAGAAGTAACCCCTGTGGGGAATACAGAATTGGCTCAATGCCTCACATTTGTTTGTGGCCACATTCCCCAACCCAAAGCCGTACAGAGGGAACTTCTGATCATAACGGATACTTCTGCTTTAATCTGCTTCATGGAGATAGACTGCATAGAAAAAATGAGTAGCTGCAAGTGTTCCAGCACAGTCACAGCTCCTGTAAGCCATCTACACTGTTTCCAGGTCTTCTGTCTTTCCCTACTCAAATTGGAGGTGTTATCTTCTTTATCATGCCAGCTTTCTAGATTTAATGAGTAGAAAGGCTTCAAGCTCGCAGCTCTGCAGGAGTATCTGGCTGCCGGGAAGGGTGGCTTATTTTGAAGGCCTCTAACTCCAAGAGAGCTTTATTTATTCTGGTTATTGTGGGATATGGACCCATGTCCACTTTGAATCTGTAAAAGGAAAAGAATTTGTGAAGTACTATGAGTTGGAGAGCCAGTGCAGGAGTGAGCAGAAGTACAGAGCAGTGTGATAGGCCTGCCTAGTATGGGAGAATCTCACAGGCATTTGCACTAACAGAAAAAGTTGATCCTTGTAAGTTTAAAAACAAATTCTAGAGAGATTAATCAGTGCCTGGAGAGGTTGTAAAGGCTTCATCTCTAAAGGTACTCAAAACCAGCTGGATGCAATCCTGTGCCACTTCCTCTAGCAGGGAAATTAGACTGGGTGACCTCCAGAATTCCCTTTCAACCCAAATCATTCTGTGATTGTGTGATCTTCACCAGATTTTTACGTAATGTGCAGTAAAAGGTAAGAAGACACCACTTTTCCTGGAATCATACAGCCGCTCTATGTATGAGTTTAAGGCTAGAAACAAATAGTCTGATTAATCATTCCCTCCTGTGTGCAGTGTGAGAATAGAGCTAACAGGGACAGAGAATATGGAGTGTGGGCAACCTCAGCTTTTCTAAGGTCACAGATCAGGTTTACCCAGGGGCCTCTAAGAGGAGACCACAACTCCTTACTTCCAAAAGAGACAGTATTTATGAAAAAGGAAAATTCATGGAGAGAAGAAACATGCAGGAGGGATACTTTATAAGAGGCAAAAGGAGCAGCAGAAGGTAAGATCTGACAGCCTAGCATAAGTATGTGTGTTGAAGAATATCTCAAGCTTAGCCTTAATTACCTTTCAGCATTGGCAACTTGAGGCACTAAACACAGATCAGCCATGGAAACCTGCAAATATAGCAGAGAAAAGGGGTTAGAGTAACTCAGAGCCTGTTCCCTCATACTTCCCAGTGGTGGCAGGCTTTGAGACCAGGACAGAAATTATTTTATCAGCCAGTACAGAGGAGTTGTCATGATGATCTAATTCTTTAATTCAGCATTAATAACACATCAACAGTACAAGAAAAAGAACTTCATTGCAGTCACTAGTAGAAGCCATCAGCTTTTAGGGAGCTTTACATTTACCAGCTGATCATTGACATGACCTCAAGGACACTGTGCTTCTATGGCAACTGCCTCTGAGCAAACAGGTCTGCTGGCAAGCTGCAGATGGAGGTGATGGAGGGAGGGGGTGTTTGCATGGCTAGGAAAAGTTAAGTAAATTTTGCTTGTTTGCACTGCAGGAGTATCAAGCAGGTCCTGCCAATGTCAAGACTTGATATGTGATAGGGCCTCTGTACACAGGCTCAGAGACTTGCAATCTGAAAGACTCAAGGACAGTGCTGCTGGCTGCCTATCTGCACAGAAAGAGGCAGCTGCCCCCACTCTGCTCCCCAGGTCACAAAGCCTTGGGTGCCTCTCAGAGCACATGTTATTCTCCAGCATTAGATCTTGTAAGTAGCCTTCACCTGCCAAGGGCTCCATAAGGCTGCTACTAGATAGTCCTCTGCATCCCAGCATAATGCAGGAGCTTTCTTTTTTCCCTAAGGCTTCTATAGGAAAGATCTTTTACCTCTTTTACCTCTTTTACCTTTTATTAGCAGAACTAATAAATGGAAAATGCCTGAGCTACCTCTAGTTTGGTAAGGGCCAGAACAGCTTTTACATGAGCTCTGTGAAATCTGTCCATATTAAAACTGGATGATCAGAGCAGAAAAATACAAAGTTGGTTAAAGGTTCCATAGAACAGAGCTGAGAACTGAACCTATGTTTTTTGAGCCAGGCTTTGCCCCTACGACAGGACATGTTGAAGTCCAAATCCCATAAAGATGAAATATCTTTTTCCATATCCTTGAGTACGAGCCAGATCATAGATACAGCTGCAGAATCTGGCCATCAGCAGGTTGTAGGCAGGGACAAGTAAACACCTGCATAACTCTCTGCTAGTCAGTAATGGCCTAAGTAGGATCCTTGCAGCTGGTTTTTGTTATGGTGAAGGCACTGCATGAAATTCTAGGCACTGGATGGGGTTGTGCTCTTGTCTCCTTTACTGATTTTCTTTCCTATTTTAGGGGAAGATTCTGGGGTTTTCAGTTCTGCGATGGCACATAGGACTCTCTCAGATACTTACTTCATCCCCCACACAGTAGCGTCCAGCAGTCTGCTGCAGAATCTGCTCCAGTGCTGTCAAGAGAGGTGGTACACTGGAGTGAGGCATTGGAAAGTCAATTGAAAGGGACACTAAAACACTTTCTAGACTGGGAATTGTGTACAAGGGCATCTTAACCCTGAGCAGAGTATGAAAAAGGAGCATTTTGGGACAGAAACTAGAAGGAATAGATATCTTACTATAGTTATGGTAGTCTTTAGGGTCCTTCAGCTTTTCTGGACCCAGGGTGACTTCAGCTGCTTCAGACTGCACTTGAAATACTATAAGGGTAATGTAGAAATACGTGATTGTGGAGAGGAAAAATGCAAAAGTTCAGTCAATTTGTGTCTGTCAGAAGTGAAGATGGGCCTGTCATTGCAGCACATGGGGAAAGCGTTTTGAGGGAACCAAAAGCACTTTATTTCTCTCAAAGAGGCAAATAAGTACCCTGCTACTTGCAAGACTCTGTGGGAGTCTGCCATTAGATGTCTGATTACAAAAGCATATCTATCTATCTATGTAGAACTTTGGAAGTGCTGTGAGCCCTTGTGCTTCAGAATGAATCAGCTGCTATAGTGTGCAAGATGGCACCAGGTTTCCACTCTTCCAGGTGCAACAGTGGAAGTGTTCTGTGTACATCTTTCCTCTCAGATCCTGGGGATCTACCAGTCCTGGAGAAGAGACTGGGCAGGAAGAGCACTATCTCTGCCAGTACACCAGCCTAGGTATATCTGTAGTTCTACTTGAAAAGGCAAGTAGAATGCCAGTGGTGCAGTATTTTCTAAGGTCAGCCAAAATACTGATCATTTTGGATGTGGGATGTACCTTGAAAGCCAGAGGTGATACAGTTCTGAGCCCATTCCATTTTTTTCTCCCCTATTTGTTTCAGGACACTCAGGTTCTGTGAAGGCAAAGCAATTGCTACATTAGATGGCTACTGCTGGCCACTGCTTACCCACTGTGTCATCCAGTGGAGGAGAGGGGAGATAAGGAGTTGCCAAGGCTGAACCCCTGGCCTGAGTTGTGTTGGTTGGGTTAGCCCTGACCTCACCTGCACTGAATCATGCACCCTGCTGTATCTTTCTCTTGGTACTACCCTTCTGTAACAGTTGCCAGGGTATCCCTTTACCTCTTCCCTTTGGGCTGCTCAATTCTCTTCATCCCAAAATGTCCTAGTCTCTGCAGTAAAACCATATGGATTCAGCTCTTTCTAGAAAGAACTCTGGGATGCTATAGGATTTTCTGTGTTGGAAATACTGTATTGTTGCCATTAGCATGGTCAGGCAGAGGTTAAGCAGATTTCATCTGCTAGCACACCAATCTGAAGTTCTGCCACACAGTTGGCTGGTAACAATTTAAGGAGACTGAGAATTTCAGAGGCAGAAATCCTTTCTGATTCTCTCATTTGCATGGATCTGACAAGGCAGTACCTGGAGTGGTTGAATGCCAGAGACAATGTGATCAGCGATCATTCTGACTTGGGCTCTCTTCTTTGGATCTTGGGGCAGGAGCCTGGGGTTAGGACGTGTCTCTTCTAGGTAATTAATTATAGCTAGCTGTAATGAACAAAGAGATAATGGGAGGTTATTGGAGAGCCAAGGAAAACTTCACATCCCGAACACCTGGGAAAGGGGAGCTGATCCAAGAGAATACAACAGCTTTTGAAGGCAGCTTGTTACCAATCCAAGGAACAGAATAACCCCTCTGACATCTGCCTGTGACCATTTGGTCCAGCTATAATTTCAGGCAAATCATGAAACAGCCATCGAAGTCAGACTACAAACTGCTTAGTGAAAGGTGGAGTTATGAACCAAAGCAGAACTGAACTTAAATCCTTGGCAGTAGTTTCCCATCAGGGACTATTTGCTATTTCTGTTTCCAAGTGGGATCATAAATGCCATCTCTTTTTCCAATGTATAGGTGAGAGCTCTGGGGAAAAATATGGGACAAAGCCATCCCATCCAGATTGGGCAGCAGGCTGGAGTGAAAGGTTAACTGATATGGATGTAGCTGATAACTCACTGACTGAGAAAGGATGATTCCATCAATTTTCAAGGCTGGGACTTGCTGCATTGGATTCAGTGCCTTGAATTCAGCAGAAAACTGTGGAAACAAAACTGAGTTTACTCTACAGCAATAAGAAATTCTTCCTCCTTGTTTTCTTCTCCCAGGACCCAGTTACCAAATTTTTTTTCCCTACCTCTTTTTTTTCTCTCTAATACTAATCTTTGCAGTAAATTATACTGTACTTATTAGTCTTGCAGCTAAGCTCTCACTGGGGCTCAGGGATCACTGCAACCAGGGCCAGACTGCCTTATCTCTTGATAAAGCACCACTGCAATGCCCAGAATGGGTGGTACTGCATTGGTGCCACCATTACTGTCTCAGTTGTCCAACTCTGCCTTAGCCCATACCAGCCCACTGAGCCAGTGGTACTATGAGGTGCACAACTCCCTCCTATAGACGCCCAAGTAAGATCTCGGTGAAGACCTCTTTTGGCAACCCACCTCTTCCTTTTGCAGGCCCTTTGCAGCCCCCTGCAATATCATTTAGCATCTTTTGGACATCCCCCTATCCCCACCTCCATGCATTTTCTGGTGCTAATTGAATGAGGTTGAGTCTGTTTAAAGTGTGGGGCAGCTTCTCTGAAGTCTGTGCTCCAGACATATTCAGTTGTATCATGGTAAGCAAAAGATCTTCAGCCTTATGGATTCAGTCACAAATGTTTGAGAGAGGAGAAGGCCTCTAGTCTCCTGCAGTCATATGCTCCTCCTGTCTCACATGCCAGGGAATACTGGCTGAAAGCAACTATTAATTACACAGAAGTGGTGAGGAATTTAGTAATTTTGCCTGTGAACTTTCTAGTGCTAATCCCAAGTCTCCTAATGATCCCCAAGTTCAGTACCCCTGGAGAGAGCTGTGGTATTTTTATCCTTACCTGCTGCCCTCCATCCTTAATGAGGTTCACTGGTACCAGGTCATACGAAATTCCTTTCAGAGCCAGTGCTAGGGAGAGCAGAGTGTATAGCTTCAGATAGCTACACTGGGACCAGTTTCATTGGTAGAGGGCTCAGGGAAATGTTAGCATCTACATTTGAAAAAAGACCCCATCCCTCAAGGAGGGTAGTCTGAGTCCACTTAGAAGACAGAGCTCTGGCAAATGAAGGCCCAAAGCACTAAAGATAGTCCTGGCAAAACCACTGTGTTTTTCAAAATAAGCTTTGCAACTCTTTGCAGCACAGCCCTTCCTGATTTGGCTTATAGAGGGCAGGGGACCATGTGCTCACCTGTAAAAACTTTGTCTCAGTACAAGTAGGGATCATTCCCAGCCCTGTTTAGCTCTCAAGACCTGGGCAGACCAGAGTCTGAGGCAGTGTCATGAAGCCCTCTTATCTGTTCCTCTCTATTCCACCTGTTCCAGGTAAGCAGCAGTCTTCCCCTCCTTCCCCCCTTCCTCACTGTTCCAGACTCATGTTTGCTGACATCTCTGTTAATAAGTGATTGATTAATTGGGTTAGGGAAGGATACTGCAATACTGAGACAAAAAAGAGATCGACACTGCATCTTACCGGTTCGCACTCTCCAAGAACAGGAACTTCGGAAATAGCTGTAAAGTATCGGCTGAGAAGAGAAAGATAAAAGGGTTATATGCTGGGAGCACCAGAGAATGTATGTAAAGAGGAGAATACAGGAACAGAAGGCATTTCAGGAACTGTTATGACAGGGGAGAGCAATGTTTGGAGGAGAGAAGGCTTCTTTCTTAAAGTAACTCTTCCTGATTTGGGCATGCAGGTACTATCACTGTCTCTCATAATAGCCTTTTCATCATCCAGTTGCACCTGATGTTTCCAGCAATGTACAAATTATTCCCTATTAAGCGTCCCTCTTTGTCCCTATCCAATATTGCTAACTTCTATCCCATGTTAGATTTCTGAAACAATTTCTGTATTGATTGTGCCATTGAAGCACCTGCACTGGGTATTTGCATGGCATGAAATAGCTTTTCCAGCCATGCAGGGGAAAAAGCCAGATCTCTTTCCAAATAAGAAGAGCTTCTGCTGTTCGAGCTGAAAGCCACAAAGGCAGATAATTCACCTCTACCTGAACTGTAACACTAAGGCAGCCTTCCCCGATGCTTCCACCCTGTCCAAACTCTCACCTTTTCAGATGCCATGATGCAGTTGTCTCCACAAAAAGCTCTGTGTTTTCCTTTTTAACTCAGCTGGAATGGGGGAAGGCTTCTCTCCTAAAACCAATGAGGAAAGGACTATGCCCCCTAATCTGTGCTCAGGGCACAAAACCCAGCCAATCCTGAGTCACCGCAGTCACCCTCTCCCAGCCCTGATACCAAAACCATTAACCAGATTTAAGCTTGGAAGCACATTTAGGAACTGTTCTTATTTCTGTAGTTTTTCATCCAGAAACAAGATACCTAGAGAGCCTCCCATGCTGTCACCAGTTGTCAATGCAGGAATCTAATCCTGGAGAACAAATAAAAGAAAACCAAATCTGCTTGCAGAATTTGTTTCACTAGGGAATGACTGCTAGCTCTGGGAATGGGCTGCCTTTGCAGGGAGATTCGTTAGTGTGCTCCTGTAGCCCACCTCCCACCAGTACTGGCCAGTACAGAGGATTTTCTACATTGCAGATATGAGAGAAGCTGCTACTCTGCTCTCAGACCGACTCTATGTAAAATAAAAGATTGCTTTTTTTTGTGTCACAATCTTTTCTTTCTGCACAAGAAATTGGTACCCATGTATGTCTCTAAATAAACCTGTAATCATGTCTCTCCTTGCTTACACAGTTCCAATGGCATGACATGGATCTCTCTGTGTCTCTACCCTCCAAAAATGCATAAAACTTTTTCCAGAGACTGGCAGAAAGACAAAAGAAAGCAGGGATATGCTCATATAGTCTGTAAACAGAAAACCAGAGACACATATGATCCATGTGCTCCAGTCCTCTGTAAACTTCATGCTTCTCCTTCAGTTTTGATTGGCTCAAATATCTTCAGATAAGGTATGTCTTTGACTAAATTACTCAGATTTATAAGTGAGGAGGAAAGTGATGGCAGTAGTTGTAACACGTTAGTGGACAAAGCATTCACTGATTTTCTTAAATTCTCTTCTTCTGGGATCAGGGCATTAGAAATATCAGCTATGTTAATTTTTCAAATGTTTAGCCTACTGAGTTTCAGGGAAAGGAACAGAACTATGGCTTCAAAAGATAAACAGAGCATTCATGAGATAGTAATTTTAATTGCTTTCCCTGAGGACCTTGCTAATGATTTTTTTTGGCTCAGAAATCCATGTCCTTTACCACATCTATTTTGGACTCTGGCCTTTCAGCCAGCAGACATTTCTCCTGATTCTCTCTGCAGTTCTTTTTTGGTTTTACAGCCTTTGGTATCATTTGGAATAAACTGTGCTAAGCTAATTGCCTTGCTCTGTAATTCAAAGCCCTGGGGGATTTCACCAAAAAGAACATGGAAACCAACTCATCGTTCAGCTGGGAACTGTCTCCAGAGGTTGGGGCATGGAGTGGTCTCTTGAGTTTATGCTGTTTTGCTCCTAGCAGCAGGGCAGATCATAGGCAAAAATAAACAGCTAGGACTAGAGACAGAATAAATGTTTTGTCCTCCATGGACAGAACCCAGAGTGACACTGGGTCTTCCTCGGAGGAAATGCTGAGCATGGTCCAGGGAAGTCTCAGGAAAGAATTTCCTGCATTTACTACCCTGTGGGATAAAATCCCAAAACCTGCAGTTTAGACTGGAGCTGGGATGGTAACAGGAGGACAGAATATGCTTGATGTCTTCTGAGAGTTCTGGTTTGGTTCTGTTTTCATTTCTGGCAATCAGTGAGGAAAATGTGGGCTTAAATACCAGTCCAGAGTACAAATTTGGGAAACGCGCTTCCCTGTTGTGAAAGAGAGAAGAAACACCCCAAACTTAGTGTGTTGACCTCTTAGGATTCCTGTCTGCTTCAGTACGGTCTACTCTGGCTACCTCTTTCCAGGCGATATGTGGGATGCACCTGGGAAGGCCGAATCTCTCACCTTTCCTGAGAGCCATCAAGCCCAGCAGCCTGCACACAGACAGTGCTCCTTGGGGGCTGGCATGGGGGACACCTCGGTGCCTGACAGTCACTGCTTGTACTCTGCTGACTTCAAATGTAAAGCTGAAAGAACAGATTTACTCCTAAATTCTTAGTATCTCTTCAATAGCACTTGCACGCGAATAAAATATGGTAAGTATCACCGCTAAAAGCATTAACACACTAGAGCATTTTATTTAGCAAGGGGTTAAATGCCTTGTTTTCCATTGCGACAGAGACACGGCTGCAGGCGGGGGCGCGGTCGCCCCGGGAACCGCCAGCCCGGCCTTCCCGGGGTGCCGGGGCACCAGAACCCACAGCCGGCGACAAGGCCGAACCGAGCGAGGCCGGCGCAGGCCGAAGGCGGAGAGCCGCCGCCCCAAGCCCCGCTCTCTCCTGCTCTGGCGCCGCCATCGCCCCCTCTCCCCTCCCGCCCCGCGGGGAGAGCGCGGAGCCAGCGCCGCGTACCTTGGCGGCGGCAGCGCTCATTGCCGTCCCGGCCTCCGCTCAGGGCTCGGCTGCTGCCCGGCACCGCATCCCCGGGACTGCATCCCCCGGCGTGCCCCGCGCCGCGCCCGCGCTCCGTGCCCAGGATGCGCCGCGCCCGGCGCGGAGCAGCGCGCGGCGGGTGCCCGCGGATGCCTCCGCGCCAGCGGGAGCCCCGCCGGGGGCCGGGGGGGCCGGAGCGGCCGGAGCGTCCCGCCGCCCCGCCCGCCGCCACCCGCCCGGCCGCGCTGGCCCTCGTCACCCTGCTCAGCTTCGCCTCCCGCTTCCACCGCCTGCGGGAGCCGCCGCACGTATGGTACGGGCCGGGGCGGGGCGTGCGCCCCTCCGGCCGGGCGCTGCCCGGGGTACGGGTGGGTGCGTGTCCGCCTCCTCCCGGACACCGCGGCCGGGACTGCGCCCTGGCTCCCGGCCCGCGCCCCCTCCCCGCCCGGCCTTGCCCGGAATGGGAAGGATCCCTGTTTATGGCCGGCAGGTGGACGGGACACGGCAGTGAGGGCCACGAGGATGTGCTGCGCTCTCAGGCCAGCCCGGCCTGGCCCCTGCGCCCTCCCCGCTGCTCTCGGGACGTGCTGCAGGGAGGGCTCTGCGTCCCGGGGAGCCGGTTTCGGGGATCTCTGTGCAGCAGGCCGACTTTTTAATCTTGCTAAGGCAATTTGGAATCAAAAGGGCAAACCAGAGGTTTTAGAGTTTTAGAGGTTTTTTTTAGAGGTTTAGAGGTTTTAGAGTGATAATATCAAACTGTTTGAAAAAAGGACCTTTCCTACAATGGCAGTGCTCTATGATTTCCCACTGAGTCTAACGCATTGTCTCATATGGAATGCTATACTCGTATGGTAGTAACCCTCTATACTATAAAAAGCATAAGTAAAAAGACCTTCCTGGATTTTTTTTTTTTTTCTTCTTGACTCTCTTCAGTATTGTAGCAGATTGGTTATTATGATTTGTGTTTTGTTGGTGTGTTTTTTTCCAGTTGGGATGAAACTCATTTTGGGAAGATGGGAAGTTACTACATTAATCGGACCTTCTTCTTTGATGTCCATCCCCCTTTGGGGAAGGTAAACTGCTTTTCTGTTACATGTTTCAGAAGCCATAGGAGTGGGTCAATTAAAGTCTGCCTCTGCCTTCTGGCCAAGGGATGTGGTGAACAACAAAGTCCTTCATAACTGTTGTTGACATCATGGCAGTTTGCATTGTGTCCAGAACCTCAACTTGCAACTTACTGCCTTCACAAAAAATGCTTCAAAAATAAGAAAAGCAAACAGTATTGCATGATGAGTTTTTGAAAGGCTTGACATGAAAAAATCAATGTGACCATTGGAGAGCATATGTAGTAGAAACCTGTATTTTTAAGGAAGGAAACAGTTCCTGATAACTTAGGAGCAAATGAGATGCCTGCCACAAATGACCCTGAGAACACTGATTTCCTGTTCTGTAAATGAACTTGTTTTAGCAACAGTGTGCTAAAACTAGTATAGTGTGGATGAAGGTGCATCCTCCTGCTTTGTCAAGGTTATCTTCCTTTCAGACTGACTCTCCTGAAATTAAAGGGATAGGGAGCTATGGGAGACTACAGAATTCTCTCTGCTCTATCCCACACCTGGTATTTTTCTTGACCTTGCAGTCATCCTTATAGTATGTTGCAAAAATAATTCTGATTTTGCCTTTAGGCAAAGGGCAGTTTGTATGCATATGATTTCTGTAAATAAACTCTTCTTTGGATGATGTGTCTGAATTACTTGTCCTCTGGATCAGTGTGGCTTCTATAAAAACCTTACTTGCTGCTAGACTGGATACTTTTTCCTCCAGTGTGATTTTTCTGACCAGTTTTTTCACCGTTTCTCTACAGATGCTGATTGGACTTGCTGGCTACCTTAGTGGATATGATGGTACATTTCCTTTCCAAAAGCCAGGGGATCGATACGAGCAGCACAACTACATAGGGATGAGAGGGGTAAGGCTCTGCAGGCTAGTGTCAAGATGGTTTGCTTTCCTGTGCCTTTCAATACAGGGTGTTACATCTTAAGAACAGCTCTCCCTGATCAGATCAGAGATATGTTTGGGAGGGGAGGGGTGAGGAGGGGAGGTGAGGGAAAAAGGAAGGGGAAAGGAAAGGGGAATGGGTGTGAGCTCTTGTCCACTGTGGGTGGGATTATAACTTCTCCCATGATCTTTTCCTGCAGTTTTGTGCATTTCTTGGCTCCTGCCTGGTTCCCTTTGCCTACCTCACAGTGTTGGAACTGTCAAAGTCACTGCCAGCAGCCTTACTCACGGCTTTCATCCTTATTTTTGGTAGGTGTTCCTGCTACAGCAAACTTGAGTATCTTAATTGTTCAGATAATTTAATTTCTGGATTACCATGTGTTACCTAACCAGAGGATATTTGGGTTAGCGAGAGACTTTCACAAAAGCAAAGTAATTCCACATTTTTTTATATAAATATGTATGAGGCTTTTTTATTGGTGGTCCCCTTAAGAATTTTACAGTCTTGTTTAGTTCATAGGTATTTCTGTTACTTACATAACCACAGTATTGGATTAGATTGCACCTTAATTTTAAAAATTTTTATAAGGCAGATGGTCAGGAATGATTTTGCCCACTAGTGAAATATTGGGGTTTTCCATGTGAATTATATGAATTACAGAGATGTTTAACAGGCCCTGCATTACTTTAGAAGAATTCACAATAAGAAATTAATAAAATCTGTTGTTGAATTGAGCCAAGTGGAGAAATTAACCTTGTAGATGGAGTTGCCAAAATAAGAGTTTTTTAGAGGACATACAGGTATTGAGAAATGGAGACTTAAAGTATCAAAGCCATATTCATTATTTATAGGTACAGTCTGAAAGATGACTTCTCCTCTGGCATCCTCTGGGACCATGGTGGTGCCTTAGGTAGATCATTGCTGGCTGTAATCCTCTCCATCCGAATATGTTACCAGTACTTTGCAAATGGTATTTCACAGATTTCACTGCTTTTTTTTTTTTTGGTTTTGTATTTATTTTTATTTTTGTTTTGTTTTTTTTCTTTGTTATCCATGTAGGAGATGAAATGCTGTAATCTCCTGTTTCTAAAATTTCCTGTCTTCTTCTTGTTTTGACTACACTGAGGAAACCGAATTCTTACAATCTTAGATGCGCTTTGGAACTGCAAGTTTTTCTGACATTGCTGTGTATCTCTTTGCAGATACAGGCTGTATTACATTGTCCCAATATATTCTGCTGGATCCCATTCTGATGTTCTTTCTCATGGCAGCTGTTCTGAGTATGGTGAAATGTAACAGCTGTGCAGACAGGTAAGATAAGGATGATAATTTTGTTAAACTATAGGTATTTAATTTTCACACAGTTAAAGTAATGTCTGCCACTGGTGATGTGTGAATAGTTGAATTGAGATTATTTCAGGAAATTTGAAGGTGAATATATCTGTTGATAGCAGAGAGAAATTTTTACTGTGACGGTTTGTGTAGTTAGGGAGAAAGTATTGTGACTGGAGTACACCAATTTACCTGTGACTGTCAGGTAAATTGGTGTACTCCAGTCACAATACTTTCTGTTGACTTTATACTGACTATAAAAATCCTGCTGTAATTTGTTTGATTTAGAGAAATGGCCACAAAAACTTAGAAGGAAATATAGCTGGTGTGATTCTGAATAAAGTAGTCAAGTTGCTATGGATATTTGCTATAGACCCATCCAGAGAGGGTGGTGGTTCAGAGGTGCTGGGATATGTCAGAAGCCTTCTTTGTGGCTGGGCTGCACAGAGTTGTTTCCTTGAAATGCATCCTGAATTCAAAGACATAAAAAGTTGAAGTTCTGTGTTATTTATTTCATGAAACATTCAAGAACGGATTGTATCAATCTTAGTGTGTCTACAGTTCATGTGGCTGAAATGCTGCCTGCAGCATCATGTACAGCTATCCAAGGCCATCCTTATCTACAGCTCATTCCCCAGGGAATGCAAGCACTAAATTACAGGGCAGTGCTTGATCAGCTCTGTGTGCTTTGACCTGAATTTATTTTTCATATATTGGAACTAATCCTTTTGTCAAAGTAGTTGATACTCTGAAAATTAAAAGCCAACTCTAGTTATCGTGTTGCTTAGCAGGTCATGGCGATTTTGTCTAGTTGAAATAAAAGCGTCAAGGCATTAGGAATCAGAAGGAAAAAGGTTTTAAATTCTGCTGTCATTTTTTCTGATCTCTCTGCTATGGTTCAATTTTATGTCAGTTTATAATTTGTTTGCTTTTTGCTGCAGCATTTGTTTGTGTTTTGGATAGATTTTTTCCTCTAAGGCTTTCTTGCTTTAGTAAGGGTGGCTCGTCTTTGCCTCTTGTTCTTCCCCATGTCCTAAATTTCTGAGAGAAGTTTGCACTTTCTGGAGCAAAATTCTTGTTTCTGTTCTCAGAGCTTCCATGTAGTTCTTCACACTAGTATTTTAGCTTATACCTGATGGCTGTGTTTCCATCCTTGAATGGGAGATCTAGGGTATCAAGGCTTCACAAGCCTGTATCTGAAACCAGCATCCTTGCATGATTCTAAACTAAATGCAGAACTTATTTTTTGTCTTCTTATGGGTTCCTGAGAAGACAGACTATAATTTTGTGGGGCAATTTATTTGTTATTTATTTTTGTGATAGCAGGATGCCCATTCATGTAGCCATCATTTTATTTACTGACTTGCTCTACTGGTCCTGCAGGCCATTTTCTGCCTCCTGGTGGCTCTGGCTGAGTCTGACTGGTGTGAGCCTTGCTGGAGCAATGGGGGTAAAATTTGTTGGCCTTTTTGTAGTCCTCTTGGTTGGCCTGAACACAGTCTATGACCTATGGGACTTGCTGGGGAACCTTAGCCTGTCACTGGTGAGTTTCAAAGGCTTTTCTTCACTTTAAGGTTTTTTTGTTTTGTTTGCTTTGTAATTGTTCTAGTCTTTGACCAACCCTTCAAGTACCCAAACCGAGGTACTCTGTCTGCAGCAAAGAGGGGCATCTGATGTGGGTGATGAAAAATGGAGATTAAGGTTATAATGAAAAAAATATTGCTAGACTTTTGAAAAAAACCCACACTTATATTAGGAGGGCCTAATAATATACACAGCAGAAAGATTGTTATTTCTTCCTGAGAGAAACTGTTATAATTCCAGTTGGCTAAATTTTGTGTCTAAGCTAAAAATGCTCATTGTGAGCAGCTTTACAGTGGCCCAAAGCAAGATGCTGTCCAACAGTGTTACCTGACCTTCCAAGGAATATGTGCTACCTGGCAGACAGGCATGTTTGCAGCACTTAGTTTGCATAAGCAGCGTGAGGTCAGGCTCTTCTTGGTGAGAGTAAGGGGGCAGAGGCTGCATAGCTGGAGCATCACAAGTCATAGAAATGCTCTGTAGCCTGCAGTATCCCTAGCCAGTTTAGAGGATGAAGGCAGCCATAGTCTGCTTGATTTCACACACATTTAGTTCTTTTAAGCCCTAAAAAAATTGCTAGTGGGTTTGAGTGTCCTGGTCAAATGTATTGCATTTTATATTTGAGACGCATGAAATCTGCTATTTGGAGAAACATCTTGATGTACCATTTGCTGTCTTGCAATCAGCAAGAAGACAAATTCTTCAGACATATCTTTTAAAAGGTGTTCAGTTCTCCTCTTGTCTCTTTTGAAGCTTGAAAATTCTATTTCTTTTACTGTTTTTGTCTCATTTGTCTTATAAACAGTAGGGACATGGGGGGACTTTTTCTATTCCTCCTGTGTGATTTGTTTTCTTTGATTAATGTAAATCAGTATGGGCTGCTAAGATTCAATGTTCCAACTCCAGAGAAATACTTCTTGAGTAATGTCAGTTAATTGCATTTGAAATAGAACAAATCCATCATGTCTATGCTTTCTGCCAGCAGACAGCTGCACAGTGATTTCATTTGTGCTGCTGGCAGCAAAGGCAGCAAAGCCCTGAGTGTTAGAATATGGAAAGAAATTTACTCCAAAAGATAGATGCTTTCTGAGTAGCTATTTGGCAACTGTGGTGCTTGAGGAGAGGGGAAAAAAAAAGGTGAGGATTAATCTCCTGAAAGCCTGAATAACTTGCCTCTGCATTTGTTAGGAAGCTACTCATTATTTACATGCAATTTTTTGGGGACTAACTTGATTTCTAGAATTCTCAGCTTGTGTTGGTCCATTGTTCTGGTTTGCTCACTGGTGTCTTTCACTTTCTTTTTTTTTACTTTGCATTGAATTCCTTAGTTAAAGAAAACAATTTCATGAAAATTGACGCATATTGAGGCCTTTTTAAGTGGGGAACTGAAGGTTAGTTCATGTGCCTCTCCACTGCCTGTATTTGGTTACGTACTATCAATCAGCATTTTCTTAAGTGTACAGTGCTTATTAAGTGTTCTGCTGAAGTACTTGAACTAAACAACTCTTTCCTTTGTTGACTTGAGTTTTGCAAGGTATTCAGCTTTTTCCATTCCTTCTAAATTAATTTGTTCTGGTGCTAAGGGATGGAGAATGATTAACCTAATGATTATATGATAGGTATCATGTTAAAAAATATGGAGAATAGCAATTGCATCTGCTTTCATCCACTTTGAAGTTAGTGTGGGCATTTTGCAAAGTTTTTGCTATTTATTTTTTTTCTCCTTCCACAGCTATTTATTATCCCCCCTCTATTTCACATTATTTACTCTACTAACAGCAGTGTCAGTAGAATGTGAAAATGTAATAGCTTCTTTGGCATCTTTTTGCAAAACATGTTTTCAATTGGTTGAAAAAAAATATTTTGCTTTCATTTTGGGACATCTGAAGAACAGGTTTTGCTGCTGACTTCTGTAACTTATGGCTGAGCAGCACTAGAAGTTGCAGTGTGAGAGCATCCTTGCTAAGCAAGGTAATTTCTGTAAGTGAAGCATATCTAGATCCCCAAGATGTCCTGGTTCATTCACATTTGCGTAGACTTATTGGGGGAACAAATTTCCATTTTCCCTTTTGCTTAGCTTAGTAGTAGTACTTAATAGTAGTTACTGTTTTGGAAACCATCTCTTTGATGGGATTTTGGGTCAAGATGTGTACCACTGATAAACAAGTTAAGGTCCTTACTCTCCAAGTATTTTCAAGGGGGGCTGCCCAACCAACCTTCTTTGCCAAAGTTAGGAATGCTCAACACTTTGGAGTGCTAAACTCTCCTACTGCCTGTTTTTGTCTCTTTTCCTATGACCCTAAAATTTTGAGGTACCATAGCTCCAGCTTTTGGAGATACACAGCAAGGTCTGCCTCAGCTTTTACCTCTCTCTGGGCCTTTCTGAGGTAATTCTACAGCCTGGTGAGCTTTCTTGCACAGCAAACTCGAGCTATAGGACTGCTGCTTAGAGTCTGCTGAAATAAGGAAAGGAGTGAAGTTGTTCCTGCACTGTTTGATGGAGATTGTGTTTGTTACAGGTCATGTTTGGGAAGCATTTACTGGCTCGTGTACTCTGCCTCATCGTGCTCCCACTTGCCCTCTACACGGCTATCTTTGCTGTTCATTTTGCAGTGTTAAATAGAAGGTATTTCACAATGTTTTCTCCAGAAGCATTACTTGTCTTTGCTTTGAATTAAGGCTACTGGTTATATAGTACTCCACTTTCAGTTTCAGAAGCACAGCCACAAGCCTTGTCTTTGTTTAATTCCCTTCCCCAACTCTCTGGCCAAGCTGGCAGTGAAATTGAATTTGAGCTTGAGACTTTCTGAAATGCCAAGCAAGTAACCTAACCAAACTTCCTATCTCATTTTTTCCTCTTCTCTTTCTGGGACCTGAAAATGTCTCAACTCCATTCTTTGTCTTTTTGTAATTTAAAAAAAAAAAAAAAAGTCATTGCATTCCTGAAAAATGGTTGTGATTAAAAAGAGTCTGAGTGTGCCTGAAGGGAGGGCTCTTTCCTGAGTGCTTACAACCAAGGGATGCTTTTTACAAGGAAAGAGCTAGTAAAATGGCCAAGTAATGTGTTCCATATACCAGCATTAAAAAATGGGGAGAATAAGAATTTCACTGTAGAAAAAGAATAGAAAAAGAAATCTGTTATTTTTCAGTTAAAGTTGACTGATCTTACCACTAACCTCTTAGCAGAAGTAAGACTACAGGTACCACAGAGAAAGGCTTTGTTATATCTGTCCTGACAGTGGGTCAGTTTATTTGTTGTAAGAACACTTGCAAAGACAGTTCTGATGCTTTGTGCAGTGCCAGCATGTACATTTTTGTGACCTCAAGCCCTTGCAGCCCTGGACAATTTTCTGCAAGACTGTCTCTATCTGATGTGATTCACAACATTAGAGAACTGTGCCTCTTAAGGGAACTGCACCCACTCTTCTTCAGATTCCTAGTCTGGTTTTATAATTTTTCTTCTGTTATAAACAACTTGGTAATTCATGACAGAGGTTTGTATGCTGTTTAGTGAGACTTTGAATTGTCATATTCTTTGCTCTCTTTTGTAGTGGTCCTGGGGATGGTTTCTTCAGTTCAGCATTTCAATCCCAGCTGATTGGGAACAATCTTCATAATGTCTCTGTTCCAGAGCGTGAGTGTCCAAATGAATAAAGCACTCTGAATGTTGTCAGTGTACATGAGAACTTTAATAAAAACAGTGTCCTTGTGACTCAGTGAAGGGCAGTGTGAATTACACCTTCCATGGTCAAGGCCAGATCTTCCTCTGTGCAGTTATATGTATTGACAGAAAGAAAAAGGCTGAAAATAGCACCATGTTCACTGCATGGTCACTGGCTGTTTCATCATTTTCCATCTAGAGGGAAAGATGCCATTTTGAGGGGTTTGACTTGTGTGCATGCATCTTGTCATTCTTTGGTCTTATATATTATTATATATCTTATATATCTATTATATATTATATATTATAATATATATGTATTATATATTATATATATATTATTATATCTTATATATTGCTTGATACAACAAAAAGATGTTTTTCATGTTCAGCTTAGATTTGTAGATGTTCAGATGTGGGATTTGTTTCGTAAATATGTGTAAATGGAAACTATCAACTTTTGTGAGACAGTGTGCCACTGGTCCAGCTGTGTTGTACTCAGAATGCATCTGAATTTAGCAAAAAGAAGTCTCTGTGGTTGTTCCCTAATCCTCAGGTTGGCTAGGGACTACTGAGCCTTTAAAATGGTTTAGCTTTCTGATTACTTCAGCTTTTTTCTGGCTCTTCCCTGCTCCAGAGCTGTCACTGGGGGAGCATCAGGTCTGTTCTCCAAGACTGAGTTTTCCCACTTGCACTGGGGGGTTAGGAAGGAGGATGTCTTAAGCCAGTGTATCAGTTCTGCTATCCAGTAGCTGAGCTTGCCTCCCTTCCCTCTTGTATTGCTGTAGGGGTCAGCAGTATTTTGACTGTCTACTCTTAGGGAAAGCTATCTCAAAAGTCTCATTATGAAATTGAACACAAAGGAACGCCTTACCACGTCTGTTTATGTTAAAACTTAGTGGGAGAGTTTTAAGTGTTTCAGCCAAATGTTATGTAACAGTTTCACTGCTTAGGGATGGGAGATAAGCTTGCAATGAGCACTGTGGAGTAATGTGTCAAACAGGAAAAAAACTTCCATCAAAACCAGTGGGGAATGCATGCCTAATCAAGCACTGTAGACTAGCTGGGGGAGATACAGGAGAGCTGCCTGACATCTTTTTTCCTCCTTTCTCATGCAGATTTGGCATATGGGTCTGTGGTGACGATGAAGAACCTTCGGATGGCAGGGGGATACCTTCACTCCCACTGGCACCTCTATCCTGAGGGTATTGGGGCTCGCCAGCAGCAGGTTGGTGTGCTGTGGTAGTACTGCCTGTGACTACAGCCACTGACTTACTCTTTTTGCATTTAGCATTAGGGGCCAAACTGCTGGGAGCTACATGTTTACTCAGCATCTGTTATCCTCTCAGTGCCACAGCTATGCACTTGGCTTGGAGCTCTGACTAAAAAGGAGGCTTGAAGAGAGCCTAACACACTGCATCAGAGAGGTGACTTACAGTAACAAGGCTTTTCAAGACTGCTGTCCATAAGTGGAATCCAAGAGGACTTCAGAATAGTCTTCCATAATGAAAGTTACCTCATGGAAGGCTGTAAAACTCTGTTTAAAACAAATACATTATCTTAAAACTTTAGTGGCTGTATATTAAAAAAAAGGAATAGAACTGCTGTATATTATTTTTACTCCAGCCACTGGCCTCTATGACCTTACTTGAATCCCTCTCCTTTGTACCTTGTTTCCTTCATCTATCACCAAAGAATTTGTAGTGCTTTGCTCATTAAATTAGATACTGTACATTTGTAAGCTAATGTAGCCATATGGAAACCATCTGAACTAAGGGCTTCTCATTAAATGATTAAGCAATAAGTGAAAGTAGAAATCAGAAATCGTGTAACTATCTCTAATTAAGAAGTACAGACATTAAGTGGATTTCTTAATTTTTGTTCATCATCATCAAGCTTCACAAATCATTGCTGATTCTGCACTTCTACCAAGATGCATTCTGCTGTTTGATTATTGGTGTCTAAAAATTGTTCTGAGATCCTTGAAAGAAAGTTGCCAGAGAAACACAAGTGTTTGGTTTTTAACTCCCTGTTGTCTCTGTGGCTAGGAGGAAGTTTTCAGAAGTGAAAACTTTGTCTTGATCTTTTTTTCCTGCTGCTTGTCACAATTGGAATTTCTAATACTCTAGCATGACATTAATGTTTATTACAGTGTATGGAAATGCCATGCTAAACTGCTTTAAGCATAGGCAAAATTAGAGTGCAGATCATGCTTTATGACACTAAAAGCAGGGAAAGGCAATTTGGAGAGGACACTAATGGGAGTTCCTTGTGGAAAGTGGGAAAGGGTGGAGATTTCCTCCCTGTGCTCCCTGCCCTGGTGGTAGGACAACAGTAGGGTTCTAGGGTAGTTTCAGGGCTATGGAGAGGGGAAGGGAATTAAGAACTTAGAGAAGATTTAGAGAGGAAAAAGTGATCTCTCTGCTTCCATTTTCCCCTCCTCTCCTGATGGCTTGACCTCAAGGTATGAGGGTCTACCTCCAGCTCTCCCTTCCCCATCGTCACACACTTCTCCGTGTTCTGCCTCTCACCCACCCACTGGGTGGTGCTCCCACCTGAGGCACAGGTGGGGCACTGGGCTAGGGTTCCACAGAGCAGGGCTTGCTGCTCTGTAAGGGGAAGGTGGGCAGAGGGAGCACAGTTCTACGTGCTCTGGGGAGCAGCAGCCTGGAATAAGATGGTCTTTGTGTCCATGGTAGCAGTAGATGCTCTCTGTGAGGCTGAGTAGGCTGGCAAGGGTTAGCTGTCTACCATGTGTGGCTGTAATGGGTGATTCCTGAATCCTTACCTTGCCTGGATCTTTTGGCAGATACTATGGATGTCACAGTCAGCCTGTTGTCATAAATCTCAACTGTCTGTAAAGCCAGTGCAGCTTCTTATCTCCTGGTTCAGATAGTGGTCAGAGATTATTCAAGAGTTCTAGTTTGGGTATCCTGTTGTTGTAGAAGGAGCTTCTGAAACAGGGTGAGAGGAGGTCAGACTGTGTTTGGAGGCTGTTGGTGCATGTGAGCTGCCATGAAGTGCTTCTGAGTACAGGCTATACACTAGCTAAGAGGTGTCATCTGGGTTAAGGAGCAGCCCTTAACTGGTTTCCTGGAGGGCACTGTCATAAAGGTAATCCCAGGATTTCTGTGTGGTTGGTTTATTCATCTGGGGCTTTGATTTGCTGTTGGATGTGTGACTGCTATCAACGGCCTTTTTCTTGTTAAGTAAAATAATTAATCCTGTCATTTCAGGTCACTGCCTACTTACATAAAGACTTGAATAACCTGTGGATCATAAAGAAACATGATTCAGATACAGGTAACAAATACCAGTAAAGTGCCTTTTATAGCTGCTGCTTCTGTTTTTCACATAAATATTCTGAGTTCTCTCCAGAGTGCAGCATCTTTCATGGATATGAGGAGGAGGAGAAGAAGAAGAAGAAGAGGAAGCTGTCTCCATCTTGATTTACACTGTGTGTGTCTACTGTGTTTTGGTTCCTCTCCAGATTGTACAGCTGAAGTAAATAAGCTTTTCTTAGCTGAAGGTTGCATTGACAATTTTTCAGCTGTGTAAGGCTGCAAATAACAGCAGAGAGGAAATTTGTCTGAACTGAGTTAATATTTTTTGCAATCTGTTATTGTGGCTATGAGTCTTGGGAAAGCTGGGTCCTGTTACGGTCTGGTACATTGTGTTTGACAGATTTTTGTGGATGATTGCTTGGGACGAGATAAGAGTACTGAATGTGATGATACACGGTTTGTACAGAAAGCTGTTGGTTTAGATTATGTTGTGTATGTAGCTGAGGCATGCTTGGTCTGGTAGTTTCTTGTTTTTTAAATGCTGCATGTGTCTATAAAAATTAACAAGAACTGTCTAAACAGTGAAATATGTAAATAATATAGATACATAAGAAAAACTATAGTCAGTGTTGCAAGAGTCTTTTATAGTTCACATTCTTTGGAGTTGCTCTTAGGGTTAAGAGTCTAGAATAATGTTTTACCCAGGTTTAGGGGCAATATAACTTTGCTTTATTATCTGCTTGAGGCATGAGCATCAGCAAGAAACTTTCTAAGGGCCTGGTAAGTTTGTCAGTGCATTGATATGATTAGTTTGTCTTTCTTCAGCAGATCTGTCTGACCCCTCAAGCCCTGTGGAGTTTGTGAGGCACGGAGATATTATTCGTCTGGAACATAAAGAGTAAGGATGATTTCTGGGATTCAAAAAGATTGTGTAATTAAGTAGAATTGATGGGAGACTTGTCCTTCTGGAGACTGTGGTTAGACGAGCACAAGCAGGCTGTGTGACAGAGGTATCTGTATATCTGAGTTTCCAGTGTGAGGTTTGTAGATTTTTTCTTCTATGGTTTATGTTTTGAAAAGTGCCTATTAAATGAGAAACTTTTAAGACAACCACAGAACTTTATTAGAACAAGCAGCATGGAGATCTGTTCAGTTGTGTGAAGTGCAGTAATCAGAGTAACTCTTCCAGAGAAGCAGTTTCAAAACCTGCATTCTGTTGCCTGTCTCCATGATGAATTTTCTAGACAAATAGAATATAGGGTTTTTTTGTCAGTGTACTGCAAGTATCCTGTTCCTATGTTCATAGGCAGTATCCACCCACTGAAGTTCTCAACAGCACTGAGATCATAGAAGTTAAACACTTTGAATGAAAATGGAAGCTGATCCCTTCCCTTTCTGCAGGGAATACCTAAGTGGAAGCAGGGGAACCATAGTGACTTGATATTTAGTCTTTGTCTCATCTAATGTCACTGTGCCAAAATGCTCTGTGCTTTCACAGCTTTGATTTCTTAACAGAACCTCTAAACTCGTGAGCCAGGAAATCATGTTGTATTGTATTCAGTATGACGTATGCACAAATCATTGCTTAGATTTCCAAAATAATTATAAGACTTATTTTTTTTAACTTTTAATTTGGGAGTTTACTATCAAATATATGGTAACAAGGATGATAAAATCTTGATTAGGCAAAATGGGCTAAGTCCTGATGAGGTCTCTGTCCTGGGAGTGAATTGGCAGTGCTGGGGAAGGATCTGGCGTGTGGTGCGTCCTGCGGCACAGCGGTGTCCCTGCCGATGTGGCCGGGCGGCAGCAGTGTGCCTTTTGGCAAGGATTGACAGTCTGTGGCCATGTTTCTCTGGTTCCCTCAGTTGGCAGACCCTGCCAGAGTGGGAGGATCTTTGTCTGCACTGTGCTGGTGCTAAATGGTGGCCACTGATTTCCCCTTAAGTTGTACAGACTTTCTTCGCAAAAGCAAAATTGGTAATCACAAAAGGTTAGGATCTTGCTTTTCTTCTTACATGACAGGTCTCTTTGTCACACTTTCACTTTTAATTAAAAAAAACAAACCAGAGCAAACAGAAACAAATATCTTTTCCTTTTAGGGGTGGAAGATTGTAGTTTGAGGGTTGGGTTTATTCCTGCTGTCATCCTTTTCTGTCACTACCCAGTGGCGTAAGTTCAGAGTCACATGCTGGGAAGTGACAGTTTCACTCCATGTCTCCCATCCCGTTAAGGCTGCATCCTGCTGTGCCCTCAGCTGGAATTCAGTGGTTAGAGTACTGGCAGATCTCTGAATGGCTCAAACCAATGTTTTTATCACAAATTGACAAGGTTCAAAGGTTTGACTTTCAATTTCATTTCAGAACTTCTAGAAATCTGCACAGTCACCAGCATGAGGCTCCCCTGACAAGGAAGCATTTTCAGGTCACTGGCTATGGAATAGTAAGTGAAGGCAAGATAAAACAAAAGCTTCTTCTTTGGGAAGAGTTCATACCTTGGCAAGGGAATTCATTGTTGCTTTTTTTAGTTTGTTAGCTAGGATGATAGTTGAATATCTGCCATCCTCAAGGAAAAAACTGATGTAGTATGAAATGCCTTATCTCATATTTAAGGTCTATTTAATGTGAACAAAGATTAAAAAATAATTTAAACTTTTTCTGTCAGTCTTGGCAGCATTCAACTCCAGACATGACAAACTGAGCAACCTTGAAGTTGCTCTGACAAGTATTATTTTATGTATTTGGCCTTGTCACATAGACAAGTGTTTTTTTAACAGAATGATGACAGAACTTTGAATCACAAAGATGAAATATGCTTTGAGGGATGAATTTCCAAATGCAAAGATCTGTTGCCTAAACCCCTTTTATGAAGCAGCCAAGTTGTCCTGTTTATGCTGTAACTCTGAGCTACAGTCAAGAATGAATTGAAAGCAAACAAAATTAAGATTGGTGAGACAGAGATGTATTTGCAAGTGGTTGCTTATGTCTAGAATGATGTCTTCCTGATGGGGAATCTCTTCTGTGAAGTTTGAGTGAGGCTGGTCTGGGCTAGATTTTTAGTTTTGCACCCAATAGAGTTTCAGAATTTCCTATTTGCAGTGCTTCAGGTCTGTGTGTCTTCTAGTTTGGGCATTCTTTTGTTCTGTTTCTCTATTTTTATAATTTTTTTCTTCAATGCTATGTTTGCATGATAGAATGGAACAGGAGACTCCAATGATTTCTGGCGGATTGAAGTGGTAGGCAGAAAAACTGGGAAGCTCATCAAAGTCCTGCGGAGTCAGGTCCGGCTAACTCATGTGGCCACAGGGTGTATACTGGGATCTTCGGGAAAGACTCTGCCAAAATGGTAAATAGTTTGTAATCCCTGTCCACCCCTGCAGGGCCTGGAGCTGACATGTTTCTGTACTCAGTGGTACTTTTAGCATAAGTAAGAATTAAGTTTCTTTCATTTTTTTAAAAGAATAGAAATACAGCTAACAGGTATTGAAAATATGACCAGAGGGGAAGATCTGGGTTGGGGTTATGCAGTCTGTTACAGTGAAGGTATACAGCTCTGAAAAATAATATCCCTTACTAAGAGATGCAAAAGTGGCATGGACATAGATCTTGTCATCTGGTAAGGCCAGGAGGGGATGACAGATGTATCATTTAACTTGTTATTTATCCTTGGGGTTTGCAGAAATCACTGGAAAGTGGGGCGGTTCATGGTGTTCTGTACCACAATCTTCAAAATTACTTTCTATTGGTATTAATCTACCTTGTGATTAGAAGACCTTTGCCATTTTTGCATGCAGCATCTGAAGCAAGACAGTGGTTACAGGCTGCTGTTCACAGGGGTAAATGTGTTTTATATGTCCTTGAATTATACATCTCCATCTTTCAAATGAGGTGTATGCAGAGACATCCAGGCTGATGCCAAGCAAGCTGCCCTGTCTGTAAAGCTGCACCATGTGGGATGCTGACACAGATCCTGAGGCAGAGGCTGTGCGTTCATGTTGCTGCTGTTTCCAGAGCTGCCTTCCTCTCTAGGTTTCCCTTCACTGTGTTGTGGTAAAACCAACTTCTAAGGAATCCTGTGGATTCTGAATCACAGAGCAGACAGTTGCCTGGCCAGGAGTGCATGTGCCACTTAGATGTCACCATAAAACTGGGCTCATGGGTACATAATGTGTTCAGTTAAAAAAAAACCAATCTCCGTCAAGAGCATTCAAAAAACGTTGTAAATTGGGGTGTTTTTTTCCTCACTAAGAATTTATTATGTGAATGGAAATTATTGCCACAAAATATTGATGATAGTAACAGCTGAGGGGAAGGAATACTTGTTAACTGCAAATAAGGATGGTTAGAGTATATTGGGTTTTTATATTTTTTTATTTAATGGGTAGTAATCACTGTCCTTCAGATAATTTAATAGTAATTATTTAATGAATTACTTAATTAGTGAGATTTACTAAGTGGTGATTGATAGAAATTTCCCTGTTAATCTGTCATATTATTGCCAGATTTGATGCACTTTCTCCCAATGTCTTTGATGTGACCCACTAGACATAGGGTGACAGACTAAAGAACAATTTTTAGTATCCTCTATGGTACTTGTTTTGTTTCTGTAATACAGTTCTTGTAGATATGGATTGAGTTAAATTGATGATGGTAATTTTCTTTGGAAGGACTATAAGGGTTGAATTAGAAGTAGTTTCTAGTTGGCAAAGTGCATAATTTTCAAAAATCCCACATACCCACCTAGGGCTTTTTAAGTGAGAAAGTGAGAAATGTGATTCAACTATTCCATAGAGTTTCGATGTCAACTGCCTTGCAGATTGTTTTGGTTTCTACGTGGTTCTTATAGCACATAAGAATGCAACTGCTGAAGCATTATGGAGAAGTATAAAGCTAAATGGGGAAAAACAAAACAAGAAATGAAAATATTGAGTGTTCCTGTGGGGTGGTGGTGAATTGTTCCGCTGATCCTCAGGGGCTGGGAACAAGTAGAAGTCACCTGCACACCTTACCTGAAGGAGACACCCAATTCCCTCTGGAACTTTGAAGATCATATTAACCCTAAATGTAAGTAACTGATTTCCTTTTCAATTGAGAGTGCATCTTGGCTTGCTGTTAAATGAAGGGATGAGCTATTAGATAGCAGTAACTGGCATTCGGCATTTGAAATGTATGTGTTCTTTCTCAGCTGAAGTGCAAACTTGCTGAACCTGAGTATGTGCAGGGATGCAGAGCTCTTTTCTATTTCACTGTTTGTACTGGAAGTTGATGATAATGCTTGAAGTCTAGTGGAAGTATAAAGACTTTTTAATGGATTTTGAGATTTTAATGTGTTACACAAGTGTGAAGCACTCCAGTACAGGCTGTTACTTCTAACATTGTTTAATTGCGAATTGTTGTCATTGATATGAGTATGTCATATATATTTCAATGATTTTTTTAAAAAAGCTTGGATCCAGTCTGTTCTGGTGTATTTTTTTCCTTCTTCTACTGGGGGTGTGCTAAATGATGACATTGTAGTACCATCAAGAAATGAGTAGTGTGTGACTGAGATCTAAGTTTGCCAGTAATGACAGATGGGCCCTGCAGCCTCATCCAGGAGTTACATATGTTTCACAGGCTCATCTGGCCCGGTTTGGTCAAGACAATTTTCATTCCATGAATTTCAGGTGTCTGGGCTGAGTTCTGAGTTAATAAAACACTTACTGTTCTTCCTCCTGTGGGAGCAACTGTATGCAAACCAAAAAAGAGGAATTCTGGGCTGTTGACTTAGTAGAATTTTCTCTTCTGTTGTAATGTATTTTACATTCCCATACTTATGGCTTATTTACAACTAAACAACAGCCTGTGAAGAGTATGTCTCTCATTTCAGCCAGAAATAAAAATTTATTTATTTAATGGACTTTTATATATTTCTAGGGCTCCTGGAAGTAAAGGAGGAAATTTAGAAGTACAACAGTTGTAAAGTTCACTGGGGGATACTTTTGAGTGCAAGCCACTGTGTTTAGAGTATGAATGAATTGCACAGAGAATTAAAAGAGGTTCTGGAAGCAGATTTGTTGTAGGAGGAGAGAGTTTAGTTTATTATGAAAAAGGCAAATAAAAGTAAACCATACAAACTTCTAATCTATTTTTCTCTCTTTTTTTTTTTTTAAGTGCCCAATATCAGCCTGGATGTTTTGAAGCCTTCTTTTGCAGAAATTCTGTTAGAATCCCACATGGTTATGATCCGGGTAGGATATCATTGATTCCAGATTATCATTTCCTTCTTCCTCTCTCTTGCATTCAAAAAGAAATAGCACTTTTTGAGAGATCTGGGTGATGGCTGCAAGCTAGGGCAGAATTTGCATGCCCAAGCAACCTACTTGAATTTATACTTAGAAAAAAGGATGGTCTTGGAGCTATATCTTCCAAGTCCATGTTTGGAATCCTTGGGCTTCGTGCCTGGCTTTGCTGTTGGTGTGATCTAGCTACAGCCTAGTTATGTAATGTTTTCCATACCTTCCTGTAGGGCTTTAAAGGAAAATTAGTATTTGAGAGACAGGAGGATATTACTATGGTCGAAATTGGGAAAATCTGCTAAACAGACATTTAAAAAGCCAGTAAGTGTTTGGATTGAAAATGGAAAACTTCTGATTTTTTTCAAGTTCATCAAGGAGCTGTGATTTCTGGTTTCCTTTTAATCTCTGAATATATATTTTTTTAAAAAGCAGATTTTATATTTGCAAGGTGGACTGACCTTGCAGTCTTGTCTTTATACTCTTGGCCACAGCCCTTCTGCTTCCAGCTCCTCAGTCCTTCTTCTGAAGAATGAGAAGTTAATATTTTGAGAAAGGAGTCTATGGTTTTCTTTACTACTGTTTGCGAAGGTTTTCTCAGATTTTAGAGGAAAAAGTAGTCAAGCACATTATTGTTATTAAAGTGTTTGTAAAGTGTTTTTGTAAAGCATTTCCATGGCAATCAGTGATAATGCTGTCTCAGGTAAGGAAGCACCTGCATGAGTTTCCATGGAAATAATCTTTGAGGCTTTTTTTCATAGTGGAGGGAAACGTGTCACAATACTCTCTTAATGAAAAAGGTCTTGCTTATGCAACGTGTATCCTCAGTGACAGGAAAGCTGGAGGAATGAGAAAATACTGCCTCTTTTGCTACCCAACCATTTTCAGTTGCACAGTAGTATTAAAACATTCATAGTCCTAATAGTGACTGTTGTGGAAGATTATGTGTTTATGTAGGTCAAAAAAGAACTTTCACTCAGGAAGGGCATTGATGTGTGTTTGTGTAAACAGACATTTCTGGGCAGATATTGCAGCATAACTGCCTGCTCATTTAAATTTTATGTTGATGTATCTGTAGGGAAACAGCGGCCTCAAACCAAAGGACAATGAAGTTACATCCAAACCTTGGCACTGGCCCATCAACTACCAGGTATATTGATCAATCCATATTCCTTTCTGTTTTCAAGTGCTTTTGCAGTGCCTTTTGAAGCACAACACCTTGTAATTGCATTGAAGATGCTGTCAGCTTTCTTTTGTAGCACCTGAGATACATGGATGGGAATTTGTCTCACCTTAGACACTGTGCAAAATATAAACTGGATTGATGAATACCTGTTTTTCTCCCTTCTGATCTCTTTCCTCAGGGACTGCGTTTTTCTGGTGTCAATGAGACGGATTATCGGGTTTATTTGCTTGGAAACCCGGTAAGTTGGAGTGAGAGGTTCCAAGCCATTGTCTATAGCAAATTTTAGCTTAGTCTTGCTTCTGCCAGTTCTCTTCCTTCTCCTTTTGGACTGTCTCTCTTATTGTACTCTTAATGCTTGCATGTCACATGAACTCGTCCAGCATAAAGTCCCAAATCTTTCTTTTCCTCTTGTGTAGGTGATTTGGTGGCTAAATTTGGTCACTATTGGGTTATATCTTCTGATAACAGTTTGCACTGCCGTGGCACTGAAGAGAGGTGTCCAACTGACATCTGAACTCAAAGGTGAGGTCAGTCTTCCTTTTCATAAATGCCTTTTGCAGGAACCTTAAAAGTGTGTGGATGGCAGGACTTTGTGTCTTAAGGGTGGGAAACCACTGAGCTTGGATTATCAAGCACTGTCCACAGGGAAAAGAGTGTGAACTTCATAGCTGTAGTTTAATAGTGAACACCACAGATCTTCTACAAAAAGAGTGCATGGCCACCTACAATGGCTGCAAGGGATACAGGCCAATTAATCAATGCCCTGCCATCAAGCTCTGCCTGTGCTCTGTACTCAGTAGTTTGAATTAAGACAAGAAGTGTTTTCTGATATTTATGCAAAGCAAATGACAAATGCAAGAGATAAAATGATCCTTTATTATGTCAATTGCCAAGGTTTTGGAGCTTTTCACAAGCCCAAATTAGTCATACTTTCACCATTCCTGTTTACATCAATGGTTGCTTCATTTTGTAGATCTCCTTATGCAAAATCAGTTCTAAAATGTGATGGGAAACTACTCAATTGTACAATAAGTTATTGGCTAAGCTGTATACAGACACCAGAGCTTAGTCCTTTCCCCAGGCTCTGAAAGCTAAGCACCACTTCTTTCCAGGAAGGGCTGACAAAATGATCATCTGGGTGGTTCTCATTGCAGAAACAATGAAAATCATCAGAAACCAGAAACACCTGATTAGTCTGATGCACATCTGGAAAAACTGCACGTTTGGTCCTAGCATAGAGCATGGTCAGCCTTCTGCCATGCCTTGAGACTTAGGTTTTTGTATATCTTTTCAGATAACTGTTCTTCTGAAGAGTGCTTGTAAGTTTATAAAGAATGCAGCTAGGATGTTGCAGAGGCTTGAAGCAATTCCAGACCAATGACTTCCAGCAAAGATCATTCCTGTTGAGTTTACTTAGTGTGTTAAGGTTGAAATAAACAGGAATTGTAGCTGAGTTTTTCTCTGCTGAGGTCTGTGTGTTTGTGTTCCAGAACTGTCCAGAGTTGTGCTACGTGCTGGAGGGCAGATCACACTGGGCTGGCTCCTTCATTACCTCCCTTTTTTTATGATGGGACGAGTTCTCTACTTCCACCACTACTTTCCTGCTATGCTGTTTTCCAGCATGTTGACAGGTAAATACTAGTCTTGGAGAAGACAAGGTAGGGAAAAAGGTGATATTGTGTTAAATTGAATATTTTTCACCCTAAAAAGTTCATTATTTTTATACGCTTTGTTTGCTTGTGCAGAGTGCTTGAAAGCATTGACTTCCTCAAAACGTTTTTCACAAAGCAGCTTGCAGTTGCAGACTGCAATTTTTTGTTTGTCTATTTGGTTTTGGTTTTTTGGTGATGGTTGGTTGGTTGGTTGGTTGTTTTTTTTAAATCACCCTGAAGAGGCAGTCATGTCTAGTGCTTAGGGCATTTAAATTTAGAGATGGGATTGCTGACCTCTGCTATTTCACTGTTCTTACATATTCTTGTATATAAGCTACTTCCCTCTTGGTTTACTGACAACACTTATAAACATGTCTGTTTATAATTTGGCCTTGGTAGTTTTTCCTGTGATTTTATACCGACTTCATTAGCATCTGGGGCCCAGATCTCTTCTGCATTTTGTAGAAGGTAGGACAGGTAGGACAAGGTAGGGAAGGTAGGACAAAACAACCTTTGCTGATACAAAACAATCTCTATGGTTCTGAAGGTTACCAAGGTAAATGAATTTAAAAATTGACATGGTCTTTTGGTGTTAACAGAGTTTCATCAGCCTAGCAGCTTTGTTCTTCTGCCTTTTACCTCTTCCTTCTCCTAGGAATCACCTGGGATGCACTACTGAAGTTCTGTGCTGGGCTCTTGTCACCCAGCACTACAGCTAGAAGGGTATATGGAGGTGGATTCCTCGCCATGGTTCTGCTCATCCTGTACAGGTGAGTGCTAAAAGCTGAACTTTACATGGATGGAATGTGTGACCATTTCCATCTCAATAGAAACTTGGCTGCCTGTTAATTATCCTTAGCCTTTTTTCCCTTTTCTCTGCTGAATTTGTTAAGATATCCTCAAGCCCAGTCCTAAACCTTCAAATTTGATTAGATTCAGCATCTGTGTCCCAGTAATGCATTATAGAACATCTTTGTTCCATTGCAGGGAATCTTTCTTTTGTTGCAGCACACAGTGTGAACACTGTTCTCCTCCAAACCCTCTATTCAGTGGTTTGTGGTTCTAAATCCAATGATGGTGACATATACTTCAAATATGGGCAAATTTTTCATTATTGTAGGTTTTATCATATTCTTAGAGTAAATACCACATGTGATAAGACTGTGCTATGTATATATTTGGTTCAGCAGAGATTAGACGGCTCCCAGTAGAGCTTAGAACAGCCCAAAGACCAAGGTCCCATAGGCTGTGAACTTCTTGAGACAGAAAACTGTGTTGTGTTTGATGGATATTCGGTTTCTTTCCACAGCTTCTACCTCTTCCATCCACTGTCCTATGGGATGATAGGACCCATGGCCTCCAACCCTAGCAGCCCCATGGCAGGGCTTCGGTGGATGGATTCCTGGGAATTCTAGAGCAAAGGAAGCCTGGGAACAATGGATCAGAAACATGTCAGATCTGCTGCATGTCAGGCTGATTCTGGTGCTTTGAAGACGTGACTATAAAACGCCGTCTCTGGAGAACTCTGGGTATAGTAACCCTGTTGCTTTGGCATTCGTTTGCATTGCCTGCATTGGAAGATGCAGAGGATGAGGAAGTCCCCTTAAATTAAAAGACTCATGTCCTGAATCCTTAGGTTATATTAATGGACAACTGGCTGCCTAAATGCCGATTCCTTGAAGCAGTATATGTCAGTCAAACAGCAGTGGCATTCCAGCAGCCAGAGCAGTACAGGTTGGAGGCTGTCCTGTGGTTGCATGTACACTCTGTCTCACTGTATTAGGAACAGTGATAGTGACAATACAGACTCTCTACTTCATTGCAAAGAGAGCTCTTTTTATTCTTACAGATCTTCTTTTATAGACGGTTCTGAGAAGGTCTGGAAAGGTATAGCTTTCATTGGTTATCAAACCAACACATCACCATCATTGGACAGTTAGGAACAACACCCTTTGAACATTTTTTGCAAGTAACAAGGAGACAAACAACACCTGCAAAGGTTGGATTCCTCCTTATGATTTCCCAGGCCAGAGTGAGAAAGTTGTGTACTTGACTTTCCCGCAGTCTCAAGCTAGTGCCTGAAACCTAAAAATCTCTTATTTGACCACTGTCACTTCCCACACACTTCATGTGTGTGTCTTCCTTCTTGTAATCTAAGCACCACTACAGTTTGAAGCACTACAGGACTTCTATCATGATTAGCAACCTTTCTTATGGTGAGGTTTTTGAAAACTTACTGTTAGTATCTGGGGACCTTCATTCTACCTTCTTTGGCTGTCTGAAGTTTTTTTTTCTTCTGACCCTGGATTTTTAAAATTTGACTGAAAGGGTCTGTTTGAAATCTCCTGAGCCATTGTGCCTTGCCTGTCTCCCAGGCCCTCTGCAGAGATGGAAATTGTTTATTCCTATATACTGCCTTGCTTTCTGGTCACCTTTAATCATTTCTACAACTCACCTAGCAGGCCTGTTTTCAGGGCCAGACTGTTCCAGCTGAGCTCTTTGTAGCTTCTTTCAGTTCTGTTTGAAGGTGCCAAGGAAATTACAGTAGAAATGGCAGGTGATTTATTTTCAGCCCCAGTATGTTGTGGAGACCAGCATGGGAATGTACTAGAGACTGTAATGATAACTTGGAAATCTTACAGACAGCTGTCATTCAGCTTTTGTTCCCAGCTATTTCAGTACCAGTGCCTGTGCTTTTAGGGGAAGGCTTCATCTCAACGCATGTGGCATCTGCAAAACTGGCTGCTGGTGCCAAGGTATCTGCTCAGTTGTATGGAACACTGGGGCTTAGTGTTCCCATATTGAACAAGTTCCTTCTCTAGACTGCTGAACATCAAATTACAAGGAAGTGTGAAGCCAGGCAAAAATTCTTTGTGATGTGTCAAGAACCATTGGATGTTGAATTCACCCCTTCCAAGAAAGCAGAGTTTGATTTATCAGGTGCCTTTGTCCTGTGTTAGGTCTATCTTTGTCTATGTTTCTTTTTTTCCATTTCCTGCTCTTCATCCAGTGCCGATTTCTTGTCACAGTTCAAATTGCTACCTTGTAGCATTCAACATGAATGACAGATCACAGCTGTGTTCCTGTCTCAAGAAGTAATATTTGAAAAACTCTTTTGTGTATGTTTCAATGAACTTATGCCTTTCATTTCAGAATTCTTGCTTTGCTTCACAGCCTTGATTCAAAATTACAGGTGGACGGATAGTAGCTGGGTGGGTGTGTCTGCCTTTAAACATGGACTGTGCATTTATTTCTCTTACCAAATCTTGGATTCCAATATGTTTCCTACCACACAAAAGGGCTGCATTAGCATAGTTGTTCTGTGGAGGGGACTAGACTCCAGTCAGACTTGCTTTGGTTCCCCTTTAGTAGAGATCCATAGCATTGTTCATTATGGCAGCTTGCTATGTAAGGCTCTGGCTTGGTATGTCACATGTCTCCAGAAACAGACTTACGTAGATACTAGCTCAGATGGGATGGACCTGTGCTTTTGATTCTAAAGGTTTTGAGTTGATCCCCTGCTGCTTATACATGGTGGGAAGTCATTGCAATAAGTAGCTGCTGGGTTTGATGATTCTTTTCCACTTGTTATTGCAGGAAGTGCTCCTACCTGCATGAGCCAGGGGTTTACAGAGGTGATGCATAGACAAGAAGGATGTGGGGGAAGGCTGCAAACTTCTTCAGAACCTGCCAGATCTGACAGCAGCAGCAAATTGTTAACTGCTGGTTATGCGGAAGGCAGACAGTGCAGTGCTGCCTTGTAACAGTGTGATCCAGCATCAACTCTTGGTGAGATCACTGACTTAATACATTGCTAAGCTCAATATGAGCTTTCCCTAAGGTAGTCCCATTGTCACGGGGAGGATTTGCCAGAAGAGCTGGCAGAAGCCATGATTTAAAGTGCAGTTTTTTCCAGCACATAAAATTAGACACTTCCCTTTAGCATTAACAACAAAAAGAGAATCTAAGAAACTTGTGAGTGTTTTGGAATGACTGTTTCTAACACCCTTTATTTATCATATTAAACCTTGAGAATGCAAAAGTTGAGTCAGTAACTGTGGTTTCTTCAGTTATTATGAAGGGGTCAGTTTTGTAGGAGTTGCCTGAGGAAGATGAACCACTGTGTTCCTTGGTTAGGATCCCTCCATGCTTTATTACTAATAATCTTTTGCATGTGGATTGGCAGCTGAGTGCTGAAGATGGCAAGTTTAATGCTCCCATCCCACCTTCCTATGCACAAGTCCAACTTCTGTTTCAACACAGACAAAAGGTTTATTTTTCTTTAGGACTGTCACTTCAGAAATTCTATTGAGAGCATTTGATTGACATTGAGACAATTTCTTAGGTCTTGTGTGCTGGTAAGGAGGGTGGAGGTATACAGTGAAAAAAATTCTAGCTGTTCCACAAGAGGGAGCAACTTCCAGCAGAATTTTTATTTTTATCTGGAGTTAAAAGGATTGAAAGGTCTACATTGAAGACTAGAGGGCAGACATTTCCTCTGCACTCTCTGGATTCCAAGGGTTGGGTTTTCAAGTAAGTGTACATTGATGTGGCTCTGTATTCTTACTGGAGAAAAGTACTGAAAAATTACTCCAGTTAGAATTTGACCTTCAGTATTTGCTTCTTAAAACAAAACCTGTCATGCCATTGTTGAAACATAATAGTAACTGATATTTTGTGAGGTCAATAAAATACAAAAATTTCGATTCGCTTCCTGACTCTGTCTTGAAATATCTGAGTGGTACAGACATGAGGCAATGGGTGCAAGGCACTCTTTGCTTTCGGGATGGAATTTGGGCTGCTTCAGCTCAGTTTTTTCCAGTTGTACTTGTGGAATGAGTTCAGGTTCTTTTCGATAACTGCTCATTAGTCATCTTCTCCAGTCGTGTGGAAAATAGCTAATGGTGCTTTCTGAGGCCAGAAGGTGCTGTTCTCTGGAGCAGCTGCTCTCTTTGAGCCTTGCTTGACAGGGCTCCTTTTATCACTGACTAAGTATTTCATCAAACTGTATCCATAGCTTCAAATCACAAAAAGCTGCAGGCTGCCACGTTCCCTGCTTCAAATTCTTTTTTGTGTGTAAACTCTATTTTCAACTCTCTAGTCTCTGAAGGATAGATAGAGGGCCTTGAGGCTCATCTGGCTTTATCCTAGGCAATCCATCCGTCTTAAAAGGCTTCTGCTAACAGTCGCTTCAGGACATCAATACGCACACATCTATTCCAGCAGCAGGGACTGGCCTATTTCCAGGAACTGGACCACTCATGCTATGAGACACAGATGTGACTGTGAGGAGGATTTGAATGGAGATTTCTGTGCCAAGATTGCTCTTGGTCCAGGTGGAGGGCTTAGTGTCATCACTGTTTGCCACCATTGTTTGCAGCTCTTTAGTCTGTACAGGATTTTCTTTTTGCATCTTAATTGGAAAGGTTGATTGATGCACAAAGCGCATTGACAATATGCTTTTTTATATCTTCCTCCTTCCTTCTGGTTCTTGAAGAACACCCAAAGTACAGGACATGTCTTTGCTTCCCCTAATTTTTGGGCTATGCATACATTTCATACAGGTGCCTGAACAAGGGGTAGGACAGGACATCTTGTAGTAGCCTGAGTGAATGAATACCTGTTAAATGGTCTGAGGGCAAAACCAGAACCTTGTTATGGAAAGGTAAACAAACATGTTACTTGACAGTTCCCTTCTGTTCCTCCTGAATCCTTCAGAGAATTGTTTTTAAGGGACTTGAGAGCAAACCAACTGTTAACGTGGAAACACAAGGCATTTACCTGAAATTCTCCATTACCGTGGTTAGCAGTGTCCCTTCCATGCTGTGACTGAATAACCCTCTGGGTTTTCACTCTGTGCACAAGCACTGTTTCCTCCTCTCAGGATCCTGCTGGCAGTGTGAAAATTCACCTCCTTAGCAGTGCCCTGTGTCTCTGCCAGCTGGGGAATGTAGGTAAGATTTTTATTTTCCCCCTTTACAGCAATTGATCATGTGACCCCACACATGGGCAAGTGTGTCATGAAAGGAAAAAAGTGTGGACTGCTAGAACAACATAAGGCTCTTCCCTGTTGGGAAAGGAAGGCTGAGGATAAGGACACCACCTCCATAGCATAGTTTCCTCAGGGCGGGGCTGTTGGCTGCAAGCTGTCAGGACTGAAAATTCTGTTTTCTTTGAAGTACTAAGACCTTGGTTGTGTAGTTGGTTGCGAGTTGCTTCACTTTGTAAACTTTTATGCTCTTTACTTGAATATCAAGGGCTATGGTTATCACAAATAATATGTGAGGTGATCACATGTTAGCATAGATATCACTCCTGCTGAATTTGTAATTGATTCTAAAACTTTGCCAAGTGAGATTCCTGTGTTTTACAAGAGACATGGTTTAGAGCCATCTTTGAAGAGCTTGCCCCTGGCTAAGGGTTTGGAGCAATAGTGAGAGAGGTGCTTTGGTAATTCTGTTCTGTATCCTGAACCTTTCTTAGTAATGCTGGGGGGTGTGTGCGTGCATCTATCTCTGAACTGAATTCCTTTAACTACGGTGCAATTACTGTACCATATGGTGTGGATGGGAGAATGTTCCCTTGAGCTATAAACGTGTTTTGTACAGGTGATAATGGAAAATGAGGTAGAATTTGGAATTTAATTTTGTAATAAATATCTCTTCTTTGAATCAATCTCTTTGTGTCTAAATTTTGGGGTGGGTTTTTCCCCCTTTCAGTTCTTCCTCACATACATGGTTTGCTTGAAGTAACAGCATGAACATTAAGTGGACCCATTAGAGAATTTAATCTGGGATAGTGATGGTGTACATCAGCTTTTAGCACACAAGTATTGCTGGACTGCAATTCTAGGAGATCAGATTTTACTGCAATCCAAACAATGTATTGGTAAGCACAACAGGAAGCAAAAGTGGTACATTTGGACAAGAATAAAGTACTGTCTGTTGAAGCAGGTTTATTTCTCCCTGTTAAAGGTGTGGTAAATTGTAAATATGTATAATATTGACAATTTAATATGAAATTTAATGTGTATTTTCATCAAGCTTCTGATGTTACCTATGAACACGTTATTCTACCGGTCAAGCACTTTATTCAGAAACCCAGCATTTTTCTGTAAATCATACTCAGTCTGTAGTGTTCATAACACCGGACTGGTGAACAGGTTTGTACAAATGAGGCCCTTACTGTGAACTAAATGTGAACATCCATAGTAAAAGTGGAGCACTGAAAATCAGAATCTGGCTTTATACGAGGCTGTAGTGAGGGGCTGGGATATGCTTTTGAGTACAGTGTAATTAGGGGTTGCTTGGGGTGGAACTAGATGAGGAAAGCCAACATAAAGCAACCTTACCTGGGACTACACATTGATGCCCAGATGAGTGCTGGAGGAGAGCCAAGCAGTCTGGACATGTTCCAAGGACTGCTGAAGTACGGCCAGGACAGCTAGGAACTGGACTGTGGCCTGTACAGAGTGATACAATAGGCTTTTAAATGGTTACTGAAAAACCTGTTGACTCGTATTGCTTTACGCAGTGCAAGTTGGTCTTTGGATATTGTCTGATCAGGGCTATTGTTCTGGAAGGGGGGACTGCTGATACCAGAAGCTGTGCTAGAATGTAGGGAGATAACCAAAAAAGAAGGAAGTATTGTTCATAAAATGCTGATAATATCTGAAGTTAAACTTCTCACTGCCCCTAAAGGAAGACTGGCTTCTTTCTGCAGATGAGTGATCTCGCATGGGTGAACAGTGGTGACTGATTCCAATTTGCACTTGATTTGAACGTACCAGATTTGTAGGCTTCTAGATTCCAGCCATCACCCCGTTACCTGTTCCTCAACAAGAATGAGGCTTTTTTACAACCTGGTGTTTTAATACAGATTTTGTGCTTTGTCTTAAAGCTTCTTCTTAATCTTCTATTTTCTAACCAAACAGAAATTTCCAATGCAAGTTGCTTCATTTGGCCTTCAATCTCCCATTACTTCCTTTTTATTTTCTTTGGTTTACCCATAAGGTTTCCCAGTCTGTACCGTGTCTTCCAACATGAGTCTCCCAAGGTCCATATGCTGAAATCATATGGATTTCATCTTCACTACCTACATCACACCTACCACTGCTGCCTGGTTTACATCTGAGGATTGTGGTTGTACACTTTGGAGTTGTTTTCTAATACACCGCCATTAACTGTAACTCTGGCCCATGTAATGCATGCTTTGGGAGTAGAAAGTTTGTGCTTTATAGAATGGGTGTGAGTCTGACAAGCATTATAATTGTTGTAAATTGCTTTTCTATTTTTTTCCTTCTTGCAGTCATTGCTTTATATCTATATTGCATACAAAGCCTGTCATCTTGTTGTGCAGCTGACAAAATGTTGTCTTAAGGCTTCATTCACCTGACCTATTTTATTCACCATTTATTTTAGGATGAGGTGGTTTTGAAGTACCTGGGTTTCTCCATTGACCAGAATGGGAGTTTAGATTATGTGTCTTTATGAAAGCATCTGTGTTGGATCAGCTGTATCACACCCTGGCAGTGTGCTGGTGCCTTGCAGTGCTTTAGGAAAAATAACTATTCCTTTACAAGGCAGAGAATAAAAGCAGCTGAGAAGTGGGGAGAATCAGTTAAGATGAGAATGTGAACATGCCTTAAGATGATACTTAAGATGATGACAGAAACAATGTGGCCAAGCAGGGCCAAGGCAGTGATTGTCCCCTTCTCAGCACTCACACTTCAAATCCTGTGTTCATTCTTTTGGGATCCCTCACTTCAAGAAAGACACTGAGGTGCTGGAGCGTGTCCAGAGGAGGGCAACAGAGCTGGTGGAGGGTCTGGAGTGCAGCTCTGATGAGAAGCAGCTGATGGAGTTGGGGATGTTTAGCCTGGAGAAGAAGCTCAGGGGGGACCTTGTCTTTCTCTACAGCTACCTAAAAGGAGGCTGTAGCAAGCTGGGGGTCAGTCTCTCAAGTAACAAGTGACAGATGAGAGGAAATGGCCTCAAGTTGTACCAGGCCAGGTTTAGATTGAATATGAAGAAAAATTTCTTCACATAGAGGGTGGCCAGGCATTGGAACAGGCTGTCCAGGAAAGTGGTGGAATTACCATACCTTAAAGTGTACAGAAAAAACTTTAGAACACATAGATGTGACTCCTGGGGACATGGTTTAGTGGTGAACTTAGCAGTGCAGTTTGCAGGTGAAAAATTCCTCACTGAACAGGAGAATTATTTTTGACAAAGCCCCAAAGCTGTGATGGCTTAGGTGAGGAGGAGAAGGTGTCAAACCAGAAGTGTCCCACACATAGAAGGAATAATATATGAGGTTTGCTTTGATACCAGATGGCTGAATGGAAAGCTGAAATGGGGGAATGCTGGCACACACCTAACATGAAGGAATGGGTGCAGTAAAATACAAAACCTTTGTTTTAATAAATCATATCGAAAATGCTATTCCTGGAGACAACTGCTGTAGGTCAAACGTTTATAAGAGATGGCCTAATCAATAGTGTCAATTTAAATTGCAAGGGGGGAGAGAACAAAGAGAGTTGAGATCAGAGAGAAGACAATCAATGACCACTTGAGAGACCAGCAGTGCTTCTGAGCATGAAGTCCAAGGGGGGAAACTACAGAGGAGACTCCACAATAAATAAAGCATTCTTTTACAAGCCTTCACCATGATATTTCAGCAGCTGAAGGATGAGCCAGTCCAGAAGCATAAGGACAATTGGAGGAAGATCCAAGATCATGTGCATCACCCCTAGGTAGGACAGAAGCCAGGTAACTCTGCTCACACAATGCTTGCCTCAATGCCAGGCATATTAGCTAGAGTACCATGTAGAGCTAATGGGGCTGGAGAGATTTTTGCTTGCATCCCACCAGACTGTGGTGCACACACCTCCATAGCTGTGTCTTGTGACCAAATTCAGCTTGGGTGTCAAGACTGACATGGTCTTGAACTCACTTTGGTAGCGTGACTTACTGAAGTCAGAGGTTGCTTCTTGGAAGATCAGCCTGCTGGTGTTGGGTTATCATTGTGCTAGGGGGCCCAAGGTGAATAATATCTGGGGTAAGGTCTGAGCATCTGCAAGTGCCAGACCTGGTTCAACAGCTCCGTGTGATCCCCTTTGACTTTTCTCACCATTTCATGTCTGGTCATCCTAGGACTGTTTTCACCTGCCTGTACAAATTCCCTAGCTGGCCACAGGATATTCAAGATAAACGTGGGGATGTCTAGCAAATTGAATTCAAAAGGAGATTTAATTTTATTCTACTGTTGAATCTTCCCTCTGCCTATCCCTCTCCCCTTAGTCCAGATCCCCACCATGGAGGGTGGTAGTGCTGCCCTGCTCTCTCCACAGTCATGGTGACAGCAAGCAAGCTCTGCAGCTCATTTTAATCATTTTATGGACAAGATTATTACCTCCTTCATCACTTTTGATTCCTGTTATGCAACCATATTTCGTGACTTGCCTTGCTACTGAGCTGTGCCACACCATGGCCTGAGGGGGTAGCTTCAGAAGAATTTTGGAAATGTTGTATGATTTCTGCACCCACCTGAGGATGGGATGGGAGGGGATGGGAGTCTGGGAATAATCTGTCATAATCTGTGGTTTTGAGACTGGGGACAAGGGGAAACAGAGGGGATTAGCCAAGCCCAGGAGTCTGTATCCTAAGTGAGCAGGCAGCCTGAAGCAGACAGATCAGAGTGTCATTATTCATGAAGACTCACAGATGCAGAATTGTAAATGAGCAGGAGTTCAAAGGGAGATAGGGTTTTGTTAGTGCAGCAGCTGGGATGAAAACTGACAGTGCCACAGCAGCATGGGCAAAGCAGTCATCCCTGGGCCAGGCAGATAGGGCCTCCCTGGGCAGGGAGAGTTGTTCTCCAGGTGCTGTGACCCCTGAGCGCTGGGCTGAGCACTGGCATTTGTGAGCTTACTCTTACTTCTGTCACACTGTTTTATGAGATTGGGCAATTTTCTTTCCATGTGGGTAAACTAAGGCACTGAACAAGTAAAGCTGACACTTGGCAAGAGAAGTTAAGAGTGTTGGTACTGTAACTTGAAATGGATGTAGATTACAATAATGAAACCCACTGCAAACTAAAAACATTATAAAATTGTTTATTATTAATTAATTGTTTAATTAATTATCTCACAGTACAAAAGAGCATTATCATCCTCTTTGAATGTCAGTCAATTTCTCTGAAAACCTCCCTTCCCTTTCTTCAAGTGGTCTACAGATTATTTTGGAGCAATCTGTGCTGCTGACCTGGTTGTTCTTCACTCCTGAGAGCTCCAGGGACAGTCTTGCAGAAATCCAAGAGCAGCTCAGAAAAGAATTTAACTGCCAGGTTAGGTACATGGAGCCAAGGGAGCTGGGAGCCATCACAGGAAACCCTCAGACCATGGAAACTTTTGCAGTGCTCAATCTCTTGCTGAGATTCTCATGCTTGAAGGCTCACAAAACATTTGGAACAAGAAGACAGGTTTTCTTGTTTGCTTCCTTGTACTTTAAATCCTCTCTGGACTTGACTTGTGCTCTCAGCATCTCAGTGCTGTGACAGCAGGAGGAACTCCAACAACCACATAACTGCAAGGGAGATGCTGCTTTGCACAAAGGCAAGAGCAGAGTCTCTCCCAAACCCTCAGTCTTTTAA